TCTGATTTCTTTGCCGATGTATAACTGACAGCTACGGTTGTATCCGGCAGCATGATAGATGTAACTGTGAATATTGATAGAAAACTAAAACACCAGTTGCAAAAAAAGCGGCAGATAGTCTATTATTGCATGATGGAGATAGGTGAAGATCCTATCTTGAAGGTGAAGATACTATAATTTGCGTTTGCAATCCTAACAGCTTGTGAAAACTGTATGTGTAATTCGCCCGCAAGCGATTCGGGTATATATAAAAGTAAGGTACGTTCAGCAGGAAGATGAGTAATTAACTTTTTTTTTTCAAAATGTCATCCCAAGAACAAACACCTCGTGAACTCTCAATTGTTATCGTTAATCCTGGTGGTGCAGGTCGTGGCAGTGGCTCTGGAAGTCGTGGCGGTCGCGGTCGTGGCAGTCGTAGCGGTCGTGGCAGTCGTAGCGGTCGTGGTGGTCATGGTAATAGTAGCGACAATCGAAGCAGCACTCCTGTTGTTCAAGCCAATAACCAGTCCAACAGCAACATGCAAAGCAACGAAAGCAACAACGACACCACCGCATCCCAATCTTCTGTCCCGACACAAAGCTCCCCTGAACATTGGATTGAGGCTGAAGAAAGGGCGTTGCTAACCGCAGTCTCTAAGCATTATGATGAGCTTACGCATCCAAGAGACAACAATCATCGCGGCCGTACATGGGATGCAATCATTGAAGATTTCAAGAAAGAGTGTACACCTCTAGCATCACCAATTGTTACTGATGGCACTCAAGAAAGCGAACAGTCTTTGGACGAGCACCAGCCACCACCTTCGTCTCTTGTCGTCGAGCCGAGCAGTATTTCGAGCGACGATCAAGCAACGTCATCAGCAGCAGCAGCAACAGCAGCAACAGCAGCAACAGATCCATCGGCTTCAGACTTCACGAATGATAACAGTACTGTCGAAACTTTCGGTAATGTACGAACTAAGCGCGCCATCAAAACCAAGTGGGAAAGAATGTGCAGTCGTTACCATTCGTGCTTTACCGAACGCCATCGGCAGACTGGAGGGTCCGGTGACATAGACGACTGGTATTTATACGATGACATGCATGCGTTGCTGAAGGATGACCCGAGGTTCAATCCTGAAATCCAGTTCGATTCTTTCCGAGGCATTCGTCGTCGCGCCGATACACAAACAGCAACCGACAGCACGCTGCAGCCATCCGCAAGACGTAGACGATTGACTCCTGCAGAATTGCGGCATGAAGATGTGCTTGAGCGGATCGATGCCGCCAACCAGCAGAGCGAGGAAGCGAGGTCACAGCTGATCGAGCTACTCGATCAGCAACATAAAGAAATCCTTGAAGCTCAAGAAAGGCGCCACCAGCAACAGCAACACACACAACAGAGCTTTTTAGATTTAATGAAGCAACTTATTGACAAGATGTAGAATCTTTTTTGTTTGATTTTTTATTTTAAATTCAATAAAGTTTTTTTTCCTTCGGGTTTTTTTATATAATCAAGTGCCTCAAAAGATAACTGGTTATGAAGACATATTTATTTTCTATCTGCGTCTATAATGGCGATTATATTGACGGAAGCTCTCACGTTCGCTACGCCGATTCTCGTACAAGTACTGTACTAGTTCATTACGTTTCCGCACACCTTCATTTCGCAGTTGCGTAGCGGTACGGCGCGCACCACGACCTCTGTCATTGATAGAGTCAGAAACTTCGAGTGGCTCTAGAAGCAAATCATCGGTTATCGGATTAGGTACAAATGTGCTTTCGGCATGAAGATCGTCGTGATCAATGCATAAATTATGCAGAATACAGCAAGCAACAATCGTCATCGTCATTGATTCTACATCCAGCAAATACAGCTCGTTACGTAGAAAACGCCATCTGCACACCAATTGGCCAAATGCCCGTTCAATAACGTTACGCATTCTCGAATGAATATAATTGAAATGCGCGTTGTCACTGTGGCGGGGTGCTTGAGCATCAGGAAATGGTGTTATCAACCACGGGAGCAAAGGGTATGCCGAATCTATGAACAAAAAATGGAATGTCAGAAATATGTACCGTGATTTCAACGATGGTCTATGCTAAACAATTTGTTCTTTACCTCCAAGTATAAATGTTCCATTTGGGCACACGGATTCTGGGTTAGCAAGAAGTTCGTCATAAAAAGCAGTAGCTTGAAAGGCTCTTGAATCGTGATTTCGGCCTATAGTATAAAAGTCGTATATATTAGCCAAAAAAGCAACTAAAATAATTACATTAACATGTCATGCCTTACCGCTCTGCCCTGCATGGATGTAGGTGAATCGCTTTTCTGAATCACAAATGGCAACCATGTTCAACGAGTAGTTGTTTTTTCTGTCGACAAAGCGATCGCCACTGTCACCTGGTTTGAAGATTCGAACGAGCTTCCCATCCAAAGCACCGAGTACATTTGGGAGGTGAGTAGGTCCGACTTCAAATGTTGGTCCAAGCTCTCCATATTGGAACCCTTCAACAGTTGCCTTGATAGCTTCATTTCCGGTCGGCCATCGGATTATACCACCTTGACAGTCGGCCATTGCCTCCAAAAATCGCTTGGTAAAATTTCTGTAGGATCCATGCGATGTACCAAGCAAAGTTTCGGCCATACGGTAACTGACATGAGCATTGGCAAATCTCCAGATTATCAGGCCGACTTGGATGAACACAGGTGTGGCGTTTTGTGCCGTAAATTGATACAATCGATGTTGCGACAACATATTTACGAGGGCATTGAAAGTGGCTGGTTTCATACGATAATGCGATTTGAATCCACCTGGTCCATCTGTGTCCGGAAGAGCTGGATGCGTAACTTCCCAGTATGTCGTATTTTTAACTCGATTGACGCGTTGCATAACACGGAAATGTAGCGGCGATGATACAGCTGAAAGGATATGATCAAGAGAAAAAATGGTTCGGTACATTGGCAAAACAGTGTTGATCATGGAGAGTTGATTGATATCGTCGTCGTCATTATTCGCAAGAAAAAAAAAGACGTAGCCTTCAATCAAAAGAAGTAGGATGCTGATGATCTTTCTTCTGTGGACAATTTCTTGCTGGGAATCCATAATAATAGACAAGGTAGGATGAAGGATATAAAAAGTGCGAATAAAAGTTGAGTGGAACAAAACAAGAAGTATTACTCAAAGTCGCTGCATATATAGAAGATATTTTCTTATCGGTAATGTTCTTATCATTTCATGATATGTAGAACTATGGAATCGGTTCCGTCTAAACAACAAGTTGGTATATCTAATGTTATGTAAAATGGTATACTTGACCCTCCCGGGTATTGCTTGATAGATAATTAAATATCAAAGTAATATTTTCTCAGTCGCATGGACGTGTAACAAAAGATCCGAGACGATATCCTTTTTGGGAGTGCTGTGTCAACCAAGGGGTCGACACGGCAGTTTTGCTCTTCATTTCCTTATCAAGGATATGATATAAATTACACAAAAAAATCCTGTGTTCATTGTATCACTTTTATTCGACTCCCGAACAACGCGCTATTACTATTTCTAGGGTGTGTCGACGTTGACTCACGTTGCTTGAGAGTACCCTTAAAGATTTTAATAATAAAGAAGATGTAAGCCCCTAAAAATGGTTGACGCAATTGAGGGTTGAAATAATCTGAGGGTGATCTTAATGGAGGGTCACTGTAGTATCGCGTAAACAAAGCTTATTACCCATTACAGTATAATGATTATAGCCGTTGACCAAAGTTTTACTATTTCCTGCGTTAAACCAAAGATGTAGAGACAGATAGAAGTATACAGTACGTGCGTCCACTCATACAAATCAGGTTCAGCTGGATCCCATGGCACCAAGACTAAATTCACTGCTTCTATCCGACAACATCAAGCCAGTTGTCTAACAGTAGTGTGCCTCTATGATAACAAAGAAGCCCATGCTCTGATTGTGGGATATGTACTGACTCCTTCTCAGTCTATGGCAGAGGAAAATATATAACGACATTAGAACTGTTCAAAAAAACATAGAGGGGGTATGGTTGTGGTCATAGCTACAGCTGGACGAATAGTGATAACTTGAAAGTATATGTACTAGGTGATCCTTTTTTCGTTGTCTTCTGCGGGAGTCTATATATTTCTTTGTTCCTTTATTTCCCCCCTTGGATCGAAACACATGTATAACGAAGGGTTTGGAAATAATTGTAGCTTGAAGGCTTTACCGAATTCTCTTTCCAGGGGTTTGTGATCATACTGGTGTTTTCATATTTCGAAAAACGGGACTGGATGATGGAAGTATGAATGATTATAACATACTTCATTATACACATAACGTTATAGACAGAATGCATCCCAAAGGTATGCTTACGACTTGTACTCCGAGCAACTGACGAATACAGCATTCACAGCTCCGCGAGCCATTACGCGGTTTGTGTTGTAGCAACAGTAGCACGAGCAGCATAAAGAAGTGGTGATGATGGGGTGCTGTTGAAATGTCCTCAGGCTAAGTGATATATTTAAAGCTGATTGCTATTATTGAACCTGGCAATTACAATTTAGTTGGCTTTATTACCATCTGACGTTCCTTCGTGCGTAGTCCTTTATAACCGATCGACAACCTGTTGTCGACTTTACAGGGCGAAAACCTCACAGCCTAGCTTCGTTTCGAGCCCCTTTGATATATCCAATGAGTCTAAAAACTTAAACTTAAATTTGGAGATGTTCAGTTTTCCAGGTAAATTATGTAGCCAACGCCAATGGAACGGCAATCCATATTTATACTGCCAGCGAGCAAGGAGATCACATGTCTTTTTATATTGCGGATAGCGACGTTCTGGTTGTCGAGTGCTACACACAATCCAACAGAAAGGATGCTGTCAGTGATGTGCTTAATTATTGATTTAGTGGAAGAAGAAGAGCTTTGCATGTTCTAGATGTGTAAGCTTCATTATTATACAGCTCCCATGGAAAGAATGCTTATACACTTGTACCGAGAACTAATGAAGGTGCCCAATGAATTCTGTGTGTCCCACGCCCATTCGGTACTCTGTCGCATTACCCTATGTTCCGTGTAAGCTTTTCTTGAAGGCCTATCTTGTTGCTAATTGGTAAAAATAACGCATAAATATATATGCGTTATATAGACGCAGATAGGCATTTAATAAATTCGACCAAACCCACTTTTAAATCCTTGATCAGCATCCGTTAGTCGCGAATGCATTGGCAAAAGACATTGTTACTCCCAAAGCGGTATACACAAAAGAAGTTTACGTGGAATGGAGTATAATGACCAGGGTTCAACAACAAGTTATTCATTCATGCTCAGCAAAACCATACTTCCTATGGAGTGGTTCTTTTGACATAGTAATTATGTGCCTTAGAAGTATGACTTGACCAAGTTGTGTGTCATCTATACGGTCTTTGCGGATCTATTGTAGATGTGCAGAAGAAAGAGAGAGGGAGCCGAAGACAGTCCTCTCTTGTTGATATCCAGGGTATCTAAAAAGATCTTAGTCTAAGCCATCTTCTATTAATCTCAATACAGTTTCCATCAGTTTTACTGTCCTCACCGCCAAATTTTGCGTTCCTGGCGTTGCCAATGCTGACTTCGTCATCTTCCCTCCACGTTGCGTCGTTGCCAAAGACATTGTAAGCACATCACCCCGTTATTTGTCGCGAAACAGATGGTGGATAGATGAGAAGTGAAGCTAACAGAGATAGTGTTGGTAAAACTGTATATACTGTGGAAAATGAGCCAGATCCTATTCCGTCCTCTTATCTACATCGTGCCTGCATGCGCGAATTCATGGTATCAACTATCGGTAATCACGAAGCAATACCGGCAGATTCGTAGTATGAGGTGCTCCGCTGCAAAGTCTCGAGACACCTCACAAACCCGACACAAAGGCACTTCAAGGCGGCTACAAAGGAAATCTACCACCCAATCACGATTAACACGATTTTAACACGATTAACACGATTCTAGTATATTCAAACTCCTGAAACCATTTCTGGAAGTTTGTGTTCAAAAAACTTAACACGATTAACACTATGGTGATAATCATTCATGTTTGAGACAAGCCTTTTGCTTTGAGCCACTGCTTGGGTACTACAAGCATGTGGAAGTTTTGACTGTCTTTCAGTAGTTAGTTTCCTATGAACATTTCAAATCCAAAAAGTGTTTTAACCAATTGGGTGCATCTAGGAGCATAGTATGTACATATAAAAGAGCCGTAGTTGATAATCGTACATTACATAAATTTCATGTATGCATACCACTTAATTCTACGATTAAGTGATCAAAAAGTAATGGTATGATATGTGGCCAACAAGCAAAATCATCAAGAAGTAGAGCAACGATTGATCGTCGTAATCGCCGTGTATTAAACTTGCAGAAAGAAAATTATATTTCATGGGTCACATGGTGTGTACTTGAATGATTACATGCTGTATATACAGCTATTTCGTAATGGTAATCTTAATAGATACAATTGACATAAGATCATATGTAATAAGCAGTAGATCGTATTATAACAATAAGCAAGCGAAAATCCAGCATCATAGTCGTACGTGCCAATCAGTGTGCGTACTTGTGCTATGTGTTCCCCTGAGTATATCATCCCACGCGCTCCAAGATCAAAGGCATACGCCATGTCTCTGCCCAACTCTTTATTGCTTGCACATACCTAGCCATCTGGCGTGCGCACTGACTTTCTGTCTTTTAGCAGCAGCGTTTCTGGCCCGATGACGATGTTGTTATGTAACACAATTTTGGCACTGAAAAATATAGAAGCGCGTGGCATCCATGTAGACCTCCCCCCCCTCCCAAAAATTTCTCTTATTCCGTTTTGCATATTATCTCAAGTATATCATCTCCTACAAATAGCACTAGCATACGTTCCGCTCTTCTGCTTTCTTCCCAACCACCGCCAATAATTTCAGAGGCCGCCAATAAATTCGCTCTTTTGTGAATCTTAAAAAGCTCTGTCACATTGCTAGTAGCATGTGGTACAAGTATAAAATTAGACATGCATTAACCATTACACTTATTGGAGGAGAAAGGGAGAGACCCATGATTTTTCTTCGCTTGAAAAGTGAGTGTGAAAAAAGGTATAAATTACGCTCCTTTTCTTCAGTTTTCTGTCTTTTCATAACATCATACAACGCACTCCAAAATCCAATATGCACTACCGAATTCTTCCTATTGCCATTACCGTCCTGACCCTCTTGATTGCAAGCACCTCGGCCAAGACCACTTTTTGCTATGCGGAAAATGACTGTGGACCATACTTTAAATGCGTGGAAGGACCTTTTAGTAACATCAAGTACTGCTGTGCCAAATCTGGTGTTGATCCCGGCATGAACCCTTGCTGCAACTCCGATGCTGAAATGACCCATAACGCTACTGGTCACTTCTGTGGATAAAGGAACAGATACGATCTGACAACTGTCTTTCTTTGTTGACCGTCAATCACAATAAACAGGCTGAATAGCCATTCAAAGGAAAATAAATCTACAAGAGTATGTTGGGATATGTGTAGAATGAGTAAGTAAGAGGGAGAGAAGTATATGTATGTGTGCACACATGGGATATGAGAATGGGAAATATATATATGCGTGTGTGTGAGTGTGTGATGTATGTCCAAAGGAATGGGGTGAAAGATACAAAGAACAAGATAAAGAGATGAATAGTGTATACGTAGTAGTAGTAGTAGTAGTAGTAGTAGTAGTGTTGTGCTAAGTGCTTTGTGTGTGTCTGTGATATATTACAAATGGGGATATTTAGCTGTATGATAGCTGGCTGCGGATGCTGAAGTGTCGTTACTATTGCTCGTGTAATAATAATCGTCGACCAGAACCATCGAGTTCTTTTTAGTAAAGGTATCTCCTCCAGAATATACAATTGCTCCGCCATCATTGCCAAAGTTGTTCTTGTTGCTCAGTACGTTCCCAAAGGTGCTGGTACCCAATGAACGGTGGTGGTGATGTTGTTGTTGTTGATGATCATGATTATGGTGATGATGATGCTGCTGCTGCTGCTGTTGGTTGTTGTATGTGTCCATACTACGTTTACAAAACAGAAACCCCCTTGCTTTTAGTAACATTTTTGACCCTACAACCTCATTCATATTCATTTATGCGTTCTCATGTTTTTCTTACCCCGCTGCTATTTTTGGTGTCGAATGGTGTCTGGACCGATGTTGGTGGGTGGTGCCAGCTGAAGTGCTTGCAGTCATTGGCATGCCTTGTTTGATCCAGTCGTGTCGTAGCGCTTCATGTGGACGCATTCTGCGATCAGGATCCCAACGAAGACATCGTTCAATAAAGTCAACAAACAAGCGATCATGGCATCGCAGTGCTTGCATAACGGACTTGGTACCAGGTCGTCTCTTTTTACCCCTGGAATTGGGAATAATGCGTGCATTGCCAGACGAATCTATTGCATGTAAAGCCTATAATTAGCATCCTCACTCACTCGCTCGCTCCCCCCACCGGCTCTCCTCCCGTGGCTCATAGATATAGTCAATAATGGCAATAATAATATTACTTAACGAAAACATAATTTACCAAAAAACAATCTTCTCCGAGAGCTTCTTTCAATCAGGTAGCGGTCGGGAACACCGATGACTTCCATGATACACGCAAGTTGTTCTTGCTCGCTCTCTCCTGGAAAAATGGGATAGCCGGTGTACAGCTCAGCCAAGATGCAGCCCAAACTCCACATGTCGATAGGGAGGCCATACGTCATGCCCAAAATAACCTCAGGTGCACGGTAGAATCGACTTTGAATGTACGTGTAGACTCGTTCACTGTCCAGACAGCTGCTACCGAAATCAATCACCTTGATGGTACTTTTCGACGGATGTTTCAACAGGATGTTCTCTGGCTTTAAATCACAGTGAATCACCTTGTGCTCATACAGCAAGCACAACGACTGCAGGATCTGGATGGTAAATCTTATAATATGTAGCATATACAAAGGTTAGTAATGCGCATATTCGGATAAGCTGTTAATAAAGTATTGCTATTGCTAGTCTTCTTACCTTCGAATTAAACTTAAGCTAAAGCCCTGGAAGTTGTTACTCTTGATGAACTCGTACAGGTTCATGCTGAGGCACTCGAATGCCACGCACAAATGGTTTCGGAAATAGAAAAAATCTGTCATTCGAATGTTGTGGAACTGATCCTCAGGGTCCTGTTATGAAAAACATACAAATAATTGTTCAACAAACAAGCACTCAAAGTTAAAGCAAGCAACACACACGCACAAAGGAGCCCACGGGTCTTCTTATGCTTCTATCTTACCCATTCGACCAATTCCTTGAGAATCTTGACTTCCGTCATGGCCTGCGCATGGAACCGCTTCTTATTCCGGATCAACTTGATAGCCACCGTTTGTCCCGTCTTGTGATCCAAACACTTGACGACTTGTCCAAAAGAGCCTTGACCCAACGTATCCAAGACTTCGTATCTGTACGCCAAATGGTCCTGCATCACCAAATGATAATCGCCGCGCTCATCGTCATAGCCGTGGTTCAACACTGGGTCGTCAGGCTTCCCCTTGATCTTTTTGGCATGTGGTCCCATAAAGTAAATATGTTCAAACTTGCGGACTTCTCGTTGCTCAAACGACGATAAGAATTGGATATAGTATTTCAGCACCGTTTGTGAGCTTTTGGGTGAACGTTGGCCAGCTTGTTGTTGTTGCTGTTCTTGTGTTCGTTTGTTGCTGCTGCTTGCGTCAACAGCAGCACTTTCGCTAGCTCGCCGTTTTGTTGAAGGTACCTTGCTAGATCCAGCTACTGCTACCATTGTAGGTGATGAGTAGTCCTCTTGTTGCTGCTGATGATGTGGCTGTTGTTGGTGACTGTGATGGTACGTGCTCGTCTTGCTTCGACCCATATCCAATGCATCCGTACTTGTGGAATACTTGTCAATTGAATGTTCGCTTTCCATGGATTTGAGCTTATCGTGCAAGCTTAGAGTACGTTGACGAGCTACGAAGGGGAATCGGTTAATAATAAAAAAATATCGTCAGTTATACGTGATATTAAACGTGTCAGACACAACAGGAAATTGATCTCAAAAGTTTTTTTACTTTTCTCTTTTTCAGTGGCTTCCAACTCGGACGATGCGCGCGAGCTCTTGCGACTTGCTGCTGCAGTTGTAGGAACATGCAATGATGTGGCTCGACCCAAGGATCCAGTTGTAGTGCTACTTGATTTTCTGGTTCTAGCCGTCTCGGCAATAGTTTGAGCGCCCAAGCGAGGCGATGCTCCACTAGTCGTTGACAGGTAGTACTTTTGCAAAGAGGCCTTGTCACCACCATCACTGCTATTTGTTGTTGTGCTGCTGCTTGTATGCTTAGGTCGTACCTTGGGCGATGTGTTGGCAGAGGATGGAACACGAGGCGATTTCCCGCCACTGCCAGACTTGCTTCGGGATAGACGACGCTCAGGCTTTTTCCGTCGCACTTTGTTGCCATCACCATAAATGATCTCCTCTTCACTGCTCGTTCCGCTGCGTCCGATAGGAGTGTTTGTGGCAGAAAAGGACATTTTCATGTTGGCAACGGGGATACGCGTAGGTGTGATTGCTGTTTGCCCATATGGCGACTTGCTAGGCTTTTTCCGCAACTGGCCTTCAGGGATATTGATGGCAAGAGGCTCAACCTTCATGGGAGGCAAGGGTGGCGGAGGTAGTAGCGGTGGTGTAGCCAAGTTGCCGGGTAATGTCTATGCAATACTCTGATTTAGTAAGAATGAATCATCTATGCAAGAGAAAGCTAGCAAAAGTGTATAAAAGTTACCTGACCGCGCCGTCGCGTGGTTGTTGTTGTTGTTGCGGTGGTGCTGGTATTGGATTTCTTGACAGAAGGTTTGTTCGCAGCCACAGAATTTCCCTCTGGTGGTGCAAGAGCATTTGATTTTTTTGCATCCCATAACGAATACTCGCCATATCTCGCAACATGGATGAATTGATCAGTGATAGATCTTGCTTTAGCTTTGTTGTTTTCGCCTGTATCACCTTCATCTGTATCACCGCCGCCAAACAACGAGCCCCGACTAGCTTGACGACGCAGTGTTTTTCGTGTTCCTGCACTCACTGCTTGCGGCTGTTCATCTCCGGAAAACCCAAATGCTCCAATACTGCTGGTATTGCGGCCCTGACCACCACCACTACTGCTGCTGCTGCTGCTATCTCTACTGCCTGCTTCTGTTTTACTACTCAGTCTCTTGCTTCCTTGGGACGTACTGGTAGGTGCTAGCGAGTGATGACGAGGCATGGGCGGTACGGGTGGAATCAGTTGCTGATGTTGACGATCAGTTGCAGCGATATCCTCATGAGACCTATTCTTCGAGAGAGTCAATGTGGCGCCATGGACTGGTGGCATAGGAGGTGTAGGCGACGTTGTACCGCTCGTTGTACCAGACCTTCGACTCCATGTTGATGCTGACGCAGTGCTAGTACTAGCGGTTGCTGATTTACGGCGCTCAGGTTGCTGTACCATGCTGGCCGTTCTATTGCTTGATAAGGTGCGTTTACGTGTATCTCGATTTGTTGCAAAATTCGCAGGCAAACTTTTACGATCCAAATCGTTTGCATTTGCGGCGGCAGCAGCAGCGGCAGCCGCACTACTCTTGCTGCTTCGATCCTTGCCCAAACTCAATCTACGCTTGACGTTACTGATGACATTAGCTGTATCTTTGGTCAAGGATGATCCACGCTGAGGCACAGGTTGTTGCTGTTGCTGCTGTTGTACCATAGCTGGCGCGGTGTCGATTTCATGCTTGATCTGTCTTACATCCACATTTGGCAGACTTGGTGGCACATCATCGACTGCGTCAGTGGGCGGAGGTGGCGGGGATTTCAATACACGCGATCGAGATCTTGACGCACGATGATGGTGATGACTGCTGTTGCGTGCTGCTCCTGAGGACGAGACTGATCCCGAGAATTGTTGTTGTAGCTCTTCTTCCCTTGTCAATTTGCTATTGGTTTCTTGTTCTTTGTTAGCAAATTGCTGCTGCTGCTGTTGCTGCTGCTGCTGACGGGATCTATCCCCATTGCGCAATGACCGACCACGTGGGCGAAGCTGAGCTGTGCTGTTAAAATAAAGCATTTGTTCTTGATCCAATTGGGTGCGGTCATTGTTATTGTTGCCGTATAATGTGTCACTAGCATTACTAGTAGACGATCTTCTCTCCTTGCTCTTATTGTTCTTGTTGTTGTTTTTGCTTTCGGCTTGCTGTTTTAGGAGCCAGCTATTCGCTGTGGACGCAGTCGCATACAAATCCTCAGTCGTTGGTTCGTAGGCACTGACTTTGGAAATGTTGGAATCCATGGACGGGTTGCGTTCAATGCTTGACGTGATGGATGGCGATGGTGGAACGTATGGGACGCGTAATGTAGGTTGATAGAAATTGTCGTAATTTATTGCCCCTAGATCTGCCCCTGCAGCTCCTGTCGAGGCTGCTGCTGCTGCTTTGTTGTAATAATTATAATTATTACTGCTCTCCTGTACCATGTGTCGGCTGGTGCTACTGCTGCGCACAGGCGACTGTGGCTGCTGGTGATACTGCTGCTGCTGCTGCTGCTGATAATATCGAGAGAGCGGAGAAACTGCTAGTGAGTCTGGAACGGGTAGTGGCGGCTCATCCGATGATATTGTTGATGATGGTAATGACGAGGTTGCTTGTAATGGTGATATAGCTTCTGTTGATATTGCTGGCATTGCTTGCTGCTGTTGTTTCTGTTGCTGCTGCTGCCGTGATTTTGAACGCCCTAGTTTTGTTTCGAACGATCCCATCAAGCTCTTGCGTCGTCGTACTCCCGTTTCCCCAACGTTCGCAGTTGATTTTTGAGTAGGCAATGTGTTGTGCCCATCTGATCCCTTGCTGTTGGTGTTTTTATTTGCTGTAAACGTCTTGAGCGTACCATCCTCTGTGATATAGTCTTCTGACGGATTTCGTTGGAACGAGGTGTAATAAGACATGATGCTTTTTCGACGCGTTGTTTGTTGATTGTTGTTGGTGCTCTCCTGGTCTTTGGTATTCTGTTGCTGCTTTTGTTGTTCAAGCAGTGCCGCCCTACTTGCTCGGTCGTTGTTTTTGTTGGTTCGAAACAATGGCCACGAAGAATCGTAATCAGACACTGTCGATGACGACATGAACCAAGTTTTTGACGTTTGGCCAGTGAAAGAGAGAGGAAAGAATATAGGTTTGTCCTTTAGAGTTTCGACTCGGGCTCTCGTTTCGGGGAGAAGGATAAGAAGTAAAAGTAAGGAGACCTGACAAGTGATAATAGTAATATGGTATTTAGCTTATTTGAAACAAAAGGGGTGCAGGTGTTAAGCGTGTGGCAGTATGGCGAACCGTGTGTTTTAACACGTTCGCTCTGCTTATTACCTTTGTCCTTTTTCAATCGAGTTAATGGACGAAATGAACGGTGCTGGAGAATTAAAGTTAACGATGGAAGGAAAAGAAGGTGAAGCAAGGGCTCAGCCAAAATAAAAGAAAACAAAAGGGTGATAGAGCCACACTACACACACGCACACACAGAGTATTCTCTCATCTCTCACCCGCTAGCACGCCTTCTCTTTTAATTAATTACAGTGTGCAGAAACGTGCTACAAAATGCGGAGACCAAACAGGTGTTTAATGAGTAACGCTCTTTCGTCTGTGCACGGAATATAAGGGCTCTCTCCCTTTCTTCCTGCATACCAAGCACGCGTGTTGCTATGGCGATGACAGGGCACAACCTCTAACGCAAACAATCCAAGCTCCGTTATTTTATACCACGAAGAGGTCCAATTGAGAAAAGACTTTGGCGGTATGATCGTCCATTATTACTCATCAATAGCAGTAGAAACGTCTTTTTCGGGCTACTATAACATATTACAGGTCAGTTTAGCCAGAACTTATTAGGTTCATTAACCCAGGTCATGGAATCACTTTTAGCGCATAAGAACAAAGATGAATGGTAGCCAAACTACACCCACACAATGGACCTGCGCAACCATCCTCTACTTCCGCCACTCGGTGGGGGTTATTTATGAAGTTGGATGCACAGATTGGTTTGCTACGCATATTTTGCTTTTGGTGTACCATAACGGCCCTGCGCCCACAGAAAACTGGGGGAGATCTTCCGTATGTTTAATTAATCAATTATCTTCTTTCTTTTCACAAGCGTGAGCTACTATGGGTGCTTCCTCCATCAATCACAATAGTGGCACCGTTGGTATAATTGCCAGCTCTGGATGAAAGATAAAGACATGTTCCGGCAATGTCTTCAGGAGTTCCGATACGGCCAAGTGGGTTTCTTGCCAAATAGGCCTCTTTGTTCTTGCGCCATGTTTCTGCAATCATTTTTGAAGGGAAGGAACCGGGTGCAATGGTGTTTACCAAAATGAATTCACGACCAAGGCGGCCAGCCAGGTGTCTGCTCAAGTGGGCGATGCCAGCCTTGGATGCAGAGTATGCATACGCTTCGAAATTGGGCACCTAATGATAATGTTCGGCACTTAGCAAACTATAGCACTATTGACTCTATATGGTGGTATATATTACATTTTCACCAGCAACAGATCCGATATTAATGACACGCGAAGGGTTTTCTCGCGTAGCGTTTGTTCGTAGTAATGGCAGCAACCTGCGATATGCAGCTTATTAGATAGGTAAAAGAACCCCGCGATGAATCCACGGCAATGTGTAAAGCACTTACGCTTGAGTCAAACTGAAGATACGAGTAACGTTGAGATTCATGACTTTTTGGAACGCAAACTCTGGATATTCGTCGATGGGTGCACCCCACGTTGCACCCGCATTGTTGACCAATACATCCAAACCTTTAACGACACAGAAAACATGATTAGTACACGCACGCACGTCAGCAATGCACAGATACGGAGTAATGAACTTACTAGTTTCGCGCTTTGAAAGTTCGCTGACGAGCTCTTTGATTTGATCGAGACTCTGGAGGTCGGCGGGCAACGGAATGCATTGACCAGGACCCAAAGCGTTCAGTTTAGCAGCAGTTTCGTCACAGGCCTTGGATGAACGACTGCTAATATACACTTTGGCTCCTGCTTGTACGAATCCCTGAAAGAATTTGTTTTAGCTGATGTATTTGACACTGATTCTAGTAAACAAAAGAAAAAGGTACTTTACGGTGGCAATCATTTCACCGATACCACGCGAACCGCCCGTCACCAAGACGACTTTGTCCTTAACACTGAAAAGAGCTTCAATATCCATGATTTGTTGTTATATTTGTGAGCTCCCAAAGATTTGAAAACTTGAGTGAGAAAGAAGAAAAAGAGAAAAAAAAAGATGGGCGGGTGAGAAGAATGGTGCGCCAAACTTGTAGAAATGTCTACAATTATTCTTGCTGACAAAATAACTTGCCCACGCTTCAGCATGTCACTGTGAGAAAATACGAGTGCCACATAATGGATAAGTAAAAATCCGGGGTTGACTCGAGTGCTTTTATATCTGTACTACATTATGCAGACGCACTACAACATGTACTACATACATATACGAACTTTTCTTCGACATTTAGAAAAATATTATAATGCCTTTATAGAATGATAATACAATTGTAGTTGCTTGCTGTTTGGTGCTAATGGGTGTGTAGTTGAATTCGTTTATGATGGTACATATATACAATGCTCTTTTGTTTTTCAGTGAAAGGAGGTGGTGTGTGTGCGTGCGTGCGTGGGATATGTGTTAATAATTTGTTTTAGTTAGCTAGACATAGTCTTCAATAACCGTCATCGTCGTCATCATCGACAAATTCGCTTTCATCACCGGGACTTTCCGGTGGAGCTTCATCCATGCTCGGCGAATGCTCATCCTCTTCATCTACTTGTTCATATTCTTCGTCGGATTCTTGCGCTTGTGCTCGCCGTCCACGGACCTTGGACCACGATATCGGCATGCGTGGGTTCTGGAATCTTGACTTAAAAAAGTTGGCCATCCGTACCGCATCCTTGTTGGCTGCTGAAGTTTCATGGTTGTATTTCTGTGCGTTTTTTCGAATCAATTCAACATCATCAATGACAGCCTACACATATACAGAATCAACTTGTAAGTTGGTACTCGCAATTATTCGCCCGCGTTATAAATTCCCTCGTCTTTCTTGATACATGCCTGTTTTTGTCTATAGAATCCATGATTAAGCCGTTCCAAAATCATTTGTAAGCAAATTGGATAAGCGATCTGGGGTAGATAGTTGCGGTACTGGTAGTAGTCGACTTGATGTACATAGAGCTCAAAGTCCGAATTCTGCATTAGCCAATTGATGATATCTTGTGCGCGCTTCGTTTCTGCAATCGAGAGTGTGTTGCCCACATCGTATCGCTCATAGAAATCTTCACCAGAAGGCACAATCTCCCAAGGACTTAGATCTTCTGGCGACGATTCTTCATCATCCCTAGATAATTACAGTTGGTTAGCCAACTCATTATTTCTTGTTGAGTTATAAGGCTGCTTACCAAATGATATGATAATATGTCCACGGATTAGGAAGACGTGCACGACGCCAGCTTGCGCCACTCTTCGTGGATTCAATCCGTCCCGTATACTTGCCAACATCATACAATGCATCCACCCGTTGTCCAACGCGTAATGTCCTCAAAATATTCATGGACGCAACAAACTGTTCCCATAATACCAAGAACTCTGGACACCCATCCTCATCGCTAAAGTCAATGGTCACATCACGATACTTGGTCGCCCAAATCGGATCCGCGGTTCCCGCCAGCGCTTCGCGGATGTTAACCAGATTCCTGAGCCGTAACTTTAAACGACAATATGTCGGTGGTCCGACCTGCCAATGGATGCCGATCACTTGGCCAAATAACACGGGTTCGTCTGTTTCGATCGGACCGTGGCGTTCGTCAAAATAAGATTTGAGCTCGGACTGTTCCCAGTATTGCTCGTGGCCTTCGGTCAAAATTCCAACATAGTCATTGGTTTGCGGATGGTATTTTGTTACTGTGCGATGCGTCGTCTGCAGCCAATCTCTAGGCTCATAGTAAAGAATTTCATCCTCGCTCAGGTTCCGTGTTTTGCCTCGTTGTGATCGTCCACCACCACCACCACCACCACCAATGGTAGCAGTAACAGTAGGGCGCGATACTGGCTGTGCCCGTTCTGGCTTCCGTCGTCCGATCGCGCGACGTTTGGAGACACGTACAGAAGCTTCGGCTCGAAATTCACTGTCATCGTCATAATCATCACTGTCTGCTGCACCGGAAGAACGTAATCGTCGTTTTCCTTTACGATCAATTACTGGCGAATGATCCGAGTCTTCATCGTCTTCCGGTTGCTGAAGCGTTTCAGAAGATCCACCCGCTTCATCTTCCTCATCCACAATAGCATCGTCACCTTCGCCATCTTCCTTTTCTTCTTCTTGGTCGTCGTCATCTTCAGCAGCTTCATCCTGCTCAGACTCGCTCGGTGAATCTTCAAGATCACTTTCGAGATACGATATCTGTACTCTTCCCCTTCGTCGTCGTGGTCGTACTGGACTATCTTCGTCTTCATCGCTCTGTGCTTCCTCTTCATCCGTTCGACCGCCGTGCATAATATCAATATCGTCATCGTCGCTATGAACTGGTATTTCATCGTCATCGTCCAGTGTCGCTCTCCGTCGTCGCGTTGTTCGTGTCACGCGTTGATGATCACGCATAGGTGGTCTACCACGGCCGGATCGACGACCTCGTCCACGACCTCGTCGTCCACCACTACCTGAGGATGTGCCTCGAGTACGATGGTGACTCGCCCTTCCACCCACGGATGACTCCTCTGGAGTCGATGATCGTCGTACTCGTCCAGCCCGGCTTCGCGTGACAGGACCTTCTTCGTCTTCCTCATCGCCATTACCTCCTGCTCTTCCTCCTCCATAACCTTCAGACATTTCAGCGTCACTGTCTTCCTCGCTGCTGTAGGCAGCACCATTCGCTTCTTCGTGATAATCCTCGTCATCCGAATCGTCGGGCAGTAGAATGGCCGGAATGGAGACGGTCGGTTGGAAGAACTGAGTTTCTGCTAATGTTGCTTCACTCTCATCCTCCTCGTCGTTTTTGACAAAGTTGCGTCGCTTTTTGGCAAGGAGTGATCGATCCACAGCTTCCATTTTAATGGGTTTGCCGTTCTTGAATCTGTCAGTTAGTATATTAGAAATTACAGTTAGAGAAAAAAAATATTCATGTGTATATAAGAAAAGATAATGTTTTCAAACATAAACTTACTCTTCCTCTTCCATTTCATATGTTCGCTCCCGCTGTTTAATTCGAGTTTCCAAACCTTCTGGTTGAAGAGGCAGATTCGTGCCGTAGCCTTCTCTACATTGACTGGGGTACTCGACACCACTTTGGTCGTTGATGGGTCTACGCTCGACTTGATGCAATGGACGCTACGGTACAACAAACGTCAATATAACCTTTTCTTCCTGCCTTCTTACAATCAAAATGAAAGTTCGTACCAGGGATTGTTCATCGACAACGCTTCCATCAGGTCGAACAGATACGGGAAGAAAGTCGCTGTAAAAAAACTGCCCGCGGTGCCACGAATTGACCATTTTGTAGTTGCCACTGTCTCCATCTATCGAGAAAAGGGTACAGCGACCATCTTCGTCGGTAATGGCGTACTTGTGACCCGTTTGTGAAAACTTGCAGTCCAAAAACACGCGACCTGGATAAGTCGTACCTGAAAGAAGAAAAGAAAGGAAGCAATTATTTCGATAGTTCTTTTCCCCTTGCCCCACAAAAACGGTTCACTTACACGAAATAGCACAGTGCCTTTTGATATCCCAGATAATAACCCTTCCATCATAGCCGGCGGATAAGACAAGACTTGGGTTCGTCGGGTGGCTTTCCACTGCAAATACTTCCCCTTCGTGCCCCTTAAGCACGCACGCCAATTTACCAGTATGTGCATAGTACACCTTGAGTTCGCCTTGGCTTGTCGCAATAATACACACACGATCATCAGCACTCCATGTGATCATGGATACTTTAGAAGGTATGGGATCAACAGCTTCGTTCAATCCAACTTCATCGCTGTTGTCGACGTTCATGGTAGTCACATTGTTGTTATTGCTGTTATCTTGCGGGACCTGTTGCTCCATAGACATTGTTGAGTTTACTGAGACTGAAGACGATGATGCTCGGAATGTTGCACTTTGCGGTACCTGTCGCGATGTGTCAGCCAATGAAGAGCTGTTCTGGTCTTCTGGTATGGGGGAGCAAGGGGGTATTAAGGATCCGAGTTCTAGAGCAGCATCATTGTCAACTCCGGAGAAATCGGTGTCATGGGCTTTGTTGGGTTGTCTGTCAGTTGTCACGACGGGGGCGACAAGAATATCCTTGTTGATGTCCACTATAGAAAGTACCAAAATAGTTAATTTAATGCACTAAATTAATTTAAGCAAATTCTGGGAGGTGAGGAAGGAAAAAAAATCACTGACACACTGTTGAATCCCAGGTCTGGGTGATCTTGTCATACACCCAAATACGCGCTGTACCATCCTGAGAGCTAACCAATTTTGCATAAATTTTGTTAGTATTTTTACCCTCCTTCGAACTGAGCCTTTCCCCAAAACTTTACCCGCTTAAAATCTTTTTGCCATCATGACTATATGCCAAATCCGTCACACTTCCAAAATGTCCTTCCAGATGGGCAATGGGTATCACAGGCTGATCCTCAAATGCTCCAGTCTTGTCTGGAAACAAGGCGCTAGGGACACGCGGTCGTCCTCTTCCGACGACGCGTGGGCGTTGGCCTGACTCTGATGAAACGGGCTGAATTCCCGAACCGTCTTGTTGGATTGTCTGGACAACATGGTTTCCATCACTGTCGCCCTTGACCGTGGAGAATACATAGACGAATCCATCATCGCCAGCAACAGTAAAATGGGTGCCTGTGGCATCAAACGACGAGCAACGTAATCGATCGGATGCTTTAAACTTGCAGCTGAACGTGATAGGCGAGTCGACGTCATAGAATATTAAAGTATCTTTATCCCAACGCCATAAGCGTACCAAACCATCTTCGTTGGTTGCCATGAGATATCGCGTTTCTGCTTTCGGTGATGGCGAGAATTTGACGGTCGTGAATGGTTTTCGTTGCTATTGTAAACAAGGGACACATAATCAGCTTCGCTTAGCTTTAAACGGGTTTCTGGATACAGGATACTTACCGCCGATGTCTGTGTTCTGAGATGTGCTACTGGTTCAAAGTTCTCCATTTTCCAAACGCGAACATACCCATCCGACGAAGCCGTTGCGATCAGCGTGTTTTCCTCATTGATGGCGATATCTGTAATGACGTTTTGATGGCCGCGAATCGTGTATACAAGATGGCCTGTACGCACGTTCCAGACTTTGACGAGAAAATCATCACTTCCCTGTATTTTGAGGCACACAATTGGATGGTCAGCTAATTGGATACCACTTGTGCACACGCACTCTCTTCAGAGAGGAGCTTACCGTAAATAGACGCGCATCGGCCTTGTCAAATGCTAGACAATAAACATGTTGACGATGTCCAGACATGGTGACACGCTACACAATCATATTGGTTATCGAGTCGCACGACACATGTTACAACAACAAAGACCCACTACTTACTTCACGATAAAATGTACTCATAGTAGTAGGCATTTCATGCGGCCTTGTTACTTTTTTGCCAATTTCAAGCGCCTGAATCATTTCATCTGTAGCAATATTACATGCATTCAGTCAAATAAGCAAAACTTCCACCCCACCTTTTTCCAAAAAACAATGGTTAGAGAAACTGCACTCACGTAATGAAAGATGGTATAGATCACGAGTAGGTACAGACATGTAGGTATAACGCGTCGGATTGGCACGAGCGACTTCAAAAGCAGAAAGCAACGTAAACAGATTGTCGTCGCCATGCTGATACAGTCGTGCCCGTTGGTTCGCATCCAGGCTCTGAGTCATTCTAAAGTAATGGAGAAGATGTCGAAGTAGATTTGGCAAGTAATCTCCCCCTATCCTTGGATATGCCTCTGACTTTTTTAAATGAATAATGCAAGAAACTTCGGTTAAATGCAAAAGATACGGTATAGACGTTTTATGTATATGTGCGTGTATTATATGTACCAGTTGTTGTAGTGTGGCTGCTTCTCCACCTCCTTCAACACTACCAGAGCCATCAAACAAAGAACTTTTAGGCAGTAGTTCGCGATGCTTCTTGAATTCTTGAGCCAATGCATACGCTGCATCTTGGCATGGTCCTTCGTAAAGAAACCGGAAAATCAAGTAGTAAAGCTATTATTCCAATTGGTTCAAAAATGAAAAGCAGAAAATTAATGATGGAATTACGCAGTGATTGTTATCAAGACAATTCGTAGCTAAATGTACCTCTAATTGTTGCGTTGTTGATGACGCGCGAAAGAATTGAAGCAAAAGTAAAAAGTTACGAATTAATAAAGGAACAGTGGGGGAGGTTCTCTCCCAGAACAAGCACTGTCTCCTTTCATTCTCTCCTCAACACACACGCGCACACACACACAAACACTATATACCTTGTTCCATAGAGCGTTCTGTAGCTAAATCAAATTCGGTACTACGATCTGATCAGTGAGAAACAAAAAATAAGGGTAAAAAAGAGTAAAGGAAAAGAACAAGAGGGGAGAGAGAGAGCGTTAAAGAAGAACGCAATAATCACAGCTGAGTTTTAGAGTAGTGATTTTTTGCCCCCCAAATCTCCAGCTTCTCACGAGGTTTTCTTCGAATGCATGCCGTTTTGTCACCATGATCCTTTTTCCTTTAAGCCATCCTTTCTCTTCTATCGCTGTCTTGAACGATGCTCATCATCATATACTCCGTTTCCTTTGCAAATGAGCAAGTTTGTAAAGGTTTTACAAAAAAAAAGGTGAGTGTTTGCGGCAGTGTCGGGTATGTCGTACAGTGCGATGGGCAGCAAATTGCATCGGATCCGACCTTTCATGTCATTGATTTGACCTGTGTGGTCTGTGCTCAATAGTTTTTCATAAATTCATGCGTGGAAATGTCAGGTACAGAATAGCCTTTTGATGTGTGTGTGTGTGTGCGTGCTTGGGGGGACGTTGTGGTACCTGTCAACAATTTAGCCTGCTGTCGTATCTGTGTTTGCAGTGGTCAGTGTTGTCATTTCGCTTTTTTCCCCCATCAGCCTCCTTTGATAAAAAAAAAACCAAAATTATTGCAATAGGCGGGTGGAGATGTATGGAAGGAGTAGCATTCAGAGGCTTCCGTGCAAAAGCAGCAGTGTGCGTGGGGACTTCGCTGGAATATATAAAATGCCCGAAAAGAAAATGAGGAGCGGAGATGAACCAGATTGCCAGAGCGTTTTTTAAAGTTGTTGGGCGGAATGGGTCAAGGGCCCTTCGCAGTGTGTAATGAGAACCAAAACCCCGCAGAGAGGCATCCACGGTTTTGTTCAGTGCTTCACAGCGTTGACCTTTGGGTTACTCTACCCATCTAAACATCCGAAACAGTGAGACCATCATGGTCCTCGTACTTGTTGACAACAACGTGTGCCGTGATTTCCCGTGGTAGCTTCCAGTTTATCGTCGTCACAGAAAGAGTGCCCAGAAGAAAGGCAAGGTATTTTTCTATATATTGCTTTGCTTGTTGGCTGATTACGTAGTACGGAAACTCTCACTTGCATGTGATGCATGTGTTTTGCTCCTCTCCTGTGATAACCTTGCTTGCCTGTTCTTACCTGTAGTTATTGCTTGGTCTGTTGATTACTACGCAACAACAGAGCCTTTAAAGATATTGTCGAGTAGCTATTACTTAGTATCACGACCTTTTATACTCTATGCTCTCTTTCTGAAGTACCTATCGATACTCACTATAGAATCAAGACTGCCAGTTATCCCAACTTGAATCCGGGTAAAAGTTTACTCCGAGCATCCTTGAAGTCCTTTCCCTTTCAAAACTACAGCTGAGACACATATGCTACTTTTAATCAAGTCGTCAATAACAATGTATAAATACATTTACAGCATCTGTATACTATTTCACTTATTGCGGAACATGATAAAACTATATGCATAGTGCTTTTGTAGCCTCCCGTATTATTAGCCATCCTTGACAAAAAAAAACCCCTTTTAAGAGTATCATCGTCAATAATGTGTTTATTGTGTCCTGGAGAGGTACTAGTGCCGTAGTACTACTTTGCTTGTCCTCTTAGTGATGACGATGTCGACGGCGGAAAGGTCGCTGTAACGCTGATGTTATTTTGGATCGGACGGATATTGTTGAATCAAGCGATGATGCTGATATCGATAGTAACGCTATCGTCGCCGTTCGTTTGGACCAAGTCGTAGTTTCTTCTACCATCGTAAACTTTATTTAGTCCTTGAAATAGTTCGTTGTCAATAATGCAGTATACTTTGAGTATCAACGACAGTAGTTGTAGTCGTCGTTATAACTCGTGGTTATCAGCTTTAGCTTGTTTGTATAGCTTTTGTGATTTTCAGCTCGGCCACTCCTCGGCCGAGCTGTAGCATACAATACTCTGGACATGAACAACATTGTCTAGGGTGCTGACTCATGACTGCTGCTGCTGTTGTGGGTTGGTCATACAGTTTGGACAGGAAAGCAGAAAGGGCACGAACAGACTCGCATACATATGATATCGTCTTTCTTACGCTTCTTTTTTGTGACAATGTATTTAGCATTGTACTTTTATTAGCTGCTATAGTACTGCAATGCATGTAATTCTCGTAGTCGTGACCTCGGTAGAGGCACTATCTCCGTGTAAAGCTATCAATGCAATTAGACATTGTAATCCTCTTCATTTTCATGTTGTCCTTTTGCGCAAAAAATCATTCCGTGCCGGTCTGGTTCAGAATTTGAAGGACGGGCATGGCTTGGAAAGTTTAAAAGAATAAGGTGCACCACCACAAAAATAAGAAAATGATAAAAAAATAACACAAAAGTGTCGTTGAAGTCTTGTTTCTGCCTGAGAGGTGGGGAGGAGGGATGCTGCGTGATGTGCGTCACTATGCATTGACCATTGTTTCAATCTTCTCGTTTCTGAACTGAGTTCTTTTTATATATCTTCATCCAGTCGAGTAGCAACGTTTGATTCGACTTTTGTGTGCTTGTGGCATCGTTATCATGCTAACCTGTGCTACAGCTACTGCTGGACATTTGGCTGTGGTTGTCCTGCGCACTACTGCTACTGGCAAGATGGCTGTAGATGTCATGACTTGCTGCATTTTTAGTGCCGCTGCCGTTGCGGTGACACCTTTTTTACGCACACAAAGTATGTCATCTTCTTTACAAATATTAGAATGAAGAAAATGAGAATCATGTTAAGCGTAAACGCGTTAATGATTAAGATATGTACGTACTCGTATGAAAGTGTATCTTTATGTCGGCTTAGGTTTTTTACTACATCTGATGAAGATGGCATTATACCTTTTGCATCATCTGCAGTATCGTCATCGTCGTCATCATCGTTGCTGTTACTGTATCCTATTACTTCTATTGTTATGTCCTTCGCCGCGTCGTCCCAAAATATGATAGTAGTGGAGTGTCTTCGTTCACGCGTAATGGTGTCGATAACATCAGACTATGGCCTTGGTGCACCGAGTTGCTGGTCCATTGAATGAACAAGCGGTATCGGACGATGCAGAGAACAAACTTTTCCAGAAGCTGTTTACGTAACGATCTATCAACTTTTGGCGGTGAAAAATGTTGATCATTCCTCATAGGAAATTCGGTCTGTAGCTGTAAAGCAAGCTGTTGAGTGTAACTGATAATGTAAGGAGACCACCAATGGAACTTAACACGCTTGCAAGCGAATACTGTGACATTCGTCATCAATATTGGTTGTAGAGTAACCGGTGATGCTTTCTCTACGTCCTCTTCGTATTTACTCTTTTTCGTCGCCAGTAGCTCGAATGTCGTGGGATAGATCAAACATTGTCGTGGTAATTTCGAGTGTACTGCTATCAATCGGAGAAAACCCAAACATACTGTATTCCATTTGGGATCGGTAACCTGATCGATTATGATGACATTGGAGCGCTGTTGGTGTTCAGTTGAGCAATAGAGTGACCACGTTTTGTTACGTCGGTACTGTCTTTTTGAGTCTAGGAACTAACATACCGTTCGTTTACAAAAGTATCATCTTCCTCATTGACCGCCAGGTAATGGTCAGTGAACAATCGTTTTTAGCAAGACAATAATGTAGACTATAATTGGTTATTCTTTGTTCGTGGATACACATCAATCTGGTTAATTCGTGTTATGTTCGTAGAAGGTGTTGATATCCAATACAATCTCGTACAAAAATGCTATTTCTTTTGCTCAAGTGCCTCCATATGCGGCCGATACTGTGTGTTCACCTTCAGCAAACATTCAACAGTATATGTTGATAGTACAATGACCTGTACGTTGAATATAAAAAGTACTCCGTAGAGTAATATTTCTAGTCTGGAGTAGTCGCCCTGATCCCGAGCGATATCTGTACCTGTCACCCCTTCAAAGTAAAATCGTACATCTATATAGGCTGTCAGCCCTCTGCATTGTCAGTATCTTTTCGAAAAAAAAAAGCAGCTATGACATATCTGTGCATTGTGTCGACGAAATATCTAGCAGTGTTAAAAGGAATGTTTCTTTTATAATATGTTTATCGATTCCTATGTTATTGAGACTATGCATCATTCGAAGCTGTTAAACCAGAAGAATTTGAAGCCATCGCCCTTAATGCTGGCAACGATCAGCTGCAGCAGCACCAGAAAGGATCGCAAAACTTCGCAATGAACCACATTACTGGCGATCATTGGTCTCTCGGCTGACTCTATGCGCTATCACAAAGAGCATTAGATAATTCGACAAATTTGAACATTAATCATCACACCAGCTGTACCTTTGGTCAAATCAGGACGTCCCAATACATCGCCTGCAAAAGTTAGCAATCATTACTGGCAATCAAATCAACACATTTATCACAGTTCCCACGTCTGCACCCTGACAGCGGCCTCAGAAATATCTAAATGTATTTTTGGCGAAAAGGAGCTCTCAACTAATCGCTTGGTGGGTGCATTGAGCCAAGTATCTTGTCTTAAATGTATTTGGTATTGTACAACGAGCAATATCGTTCTCGCAACAATCCGTTTGTTGATGACGATGAAGAAGAATAAGAAGAAGAAGCAAGTGGCCTCGCTGTCACTTTACCAGGAATGTCGCTACTCTTGGTGCACTGCAATCATTGGATGCAATTTCACTTATAAATGACGTGCTTCTCTCAGACAGCGTACTTGAAATATGGAAAAACGCTGCGAAGAGTTGTACCACCAACCGATGACTCAAGTTTGTTACTAATATACCTGTTTGTATCGGAATGATGCTCTCTGGCTTTAACACCTTGGATGACATAGTCATTGGGTGTGTTCAGCGATAAACAGTTCCTTCTGTCGCTGTATATCGTTGAATCTGGCAACGTCACTGACACTGGATTACAAACATTTATTGATACTACGTATCGAAGCCATCTTATCAGTATCACAGTCAGCTCTTCCAAGAGCAGTACTAACGGCGATATTGACTACACGCGGAACCAATTGGGCAAAGACAATGTAGCATACACCAAGTGATAAGTGTAAGAACATCGCATATTGCATAACAAAAACTACTAGCGAAGAAAGCCAAGTAGTGGTTAATAAATGTAGATTGTGTCTCACATTAAGAATAAACAAATGCTACATATGCAGCAACACAGTTTATGGAATGCCTTAGAGCACCCTTAGCAGACTCGCTAACTTTGATTCTCCAATTGTTTTTTGCGAGCGAATTTAGTTTCTTTGTTCCAGCGGACTCGCCAAACCATAATTTGAGAGTCAGGAAAAATCTTTCGCGAGTCCGCTGGGTATTTACTGCTACCCCTACCTCCGAAAGTTAAAGATACGTTTCCAACAAGTCGGTGCAGTATATCTGTCAAGATATCTCATATGCTTTGGGATGCATAGTACGCGCTTTATACTTTATTTGTGTAGGTGTCAGTATATATCTTGCTGTGTATGTAACATTTATGAGGAACCATATCCAATAAATGATTCATCTTCGTCCTCTCTTTTTTGTGAGCATATGTGTAATATCCATATATCATAGAACACGCATTATGATCGCCAAATTCGTTCATTGTCCACTCCTACACGTATAAATTCTACGTCGGTGACCGGTCAAGTAGCGTAACTGTAAGTAATTTTTGCTGTGTCACTTAAACTCTTCGTTAAAATTTAAAACGGGATCACCGTTCGTGGCAAAGTAACAGCGTCATCTTAGGAATAGATTTTCAGAGGGGGAGAAAGTAAGAACGAACTTAAAACTAATTCAGGAAAGGATTAGTGAATAGCTACCCACGTATGTCAGAATATCATTATTATGTGTGTAAAGAATGCTTAAAAACGCAAACAAATTCTTTTTGTTTCTCCTTTCATTCTGCTTGTCACTGCAGCATTATTTGTATTTTACTTATAGGGGTGATGATGGCCCCGTGCTATATTTTGATTTTCCAGCAGGAAAAGCAGCGCATCACTGGTGACTAGCACATATACAGATGAGCATACACCACAGTATGTACTGCGCCGCAAATCCGTGCGTGCTTTATTGTCATTTATCTTTTGATCAAGCACGATATCAGTCTTAACTCATCTGCAGGATAAATTAAACGCTTTGAAGTTACGTCATCGTGAGCTGTTAACAAATAAAATGAAATCAATGTGGAACGAGCAAACTTAGACGGCTTATATGAATATAAGCGATCGAGGGAAGAAAGGTCTATTTCTTTTAAAGAAAAGGTCGAGATCATTGTCGAATAAGACCGACGGATGAAAGGCAGGTACATGTGTGCGACACTGTGCAACAGCAGCAACTGTTTGGGATTGGGTAACACCAAGCAATGCATTGTCACAACGTAAGATATAGACAGGGTTACGGCAGCAGGCGCCACAAAAACCTGGGTAATCTGCATATCGTTGGTGGGCCCGGGTTCGGCATTCAACCATTTTTAAACAGAAGAAGTTAATATAGTTTTAATAGCGGGTGGTATAATAATGTATGCTATGTATTGTATTGTATGGAGATAGAATGGATTGATTGCGAATAGAAAGAAATATGAGTTGTTAGTATATGTACAGCTTGGTATATTGATATGACTAGAGATACGGAAGTAAAGAGATAGAGATGTTATGTAATATAGAAGGAAAGGAAGAAGGGAAAAAAATTATCGCAGGGGTTTCTGTACATTGTCCATAGCGATAGCCAACCCGGTCAACATTTTCAATGTCTTGTCAAGATTGCTATTGTTGTAACTATTATTATCGGCGTAGAGCCGTTCCTCCGTCGTCGTCGTCATCACCGTTGTTGTTGTGCTGTGTTTCATAAGATCTGCAATGTAAAATTAGCAACAATGTTGAAACACAGAAGAGGGACAAAAGTAGAAAAAGGGCCGAGATAGAAACATCCATTGCTACTACTACAGCCGCGACCACCACCACCACTAAGACAGCAACATACCTTTGATCAACAGACAGTAGCGGGGCACGCGCTGGAATGGAGCAATCAAATAATCAGCAAAGCCCATGCGGTTGGTCTCGCGCTTGGCGATTCCTTCTTGCTCAATTTTCAAAAACATTGAATTGGTTGCACAAGCGCGTCGGATCGATTTGATATTAGATTCATAATGCACTGCATATTTTAGAAACACGACCAGGTCTTGTTCGAGTGAGCAAAAAAGTTGGCCAACATACTGCAGCTGCAGCTGTTGGCGTTGGAGTTGTAAGATTCTCTTGAGTCCAGCCAAGATTTTCTCAGATAGGGCCAAAAGATTTGGCAAATGACGGAACAGCAACGGCATCAGCTCGGTTGTGCTGCTGATAAATGGCTTTGTGGTCGATATGTAAGACGCGGCCGCGCTCATCGGTTGCATGTATCGTGTTTGAATTACAGTCAGTAGACGATGATACGACTCTTCGGTCGTGTAGAGTTCATGGAGGACAAACCTCACGAGCGCTGCCGAGTTGTTGTTTCGTTTTTGTGATTGATGAAGATGAGGACGAGGGATGCTGCTGGTAGTAACGGTTGTTGTGTTGGTAGGTGATGTGCTGTTATTATGATTATTCTCGAGCTTGGCCATTGTGTCACGCCAAACGGAGATCGCCTTGGTTTCTTTGCGGTTCACAAACATGGATTTCGCGCGAGACGGTCTGAGTTCTTCCGATGAAGGTGGCGTTGTTGTCGTGCTGTTGCTGTTGCTAATCGTTGTTCTGACGAGATTGCTTCTTTGTCGTTTCTGTTTGGATGATTGCAATGGTAGTGCCATGGCACTAAATGAGACGATTGGTGCTGGTCCTGAAGGCAGCTGCTGCTCCTCATCTCTCGGGGTCGGCAACGATGACACGCTGGACGATCGTGTAGACAAGTTACTGTCATTGCTGCTCAATGACGACAAGCTGCAACAACTGCTTCGGCTGCTACTCCGTGTACGTTTAATGGCTGCGTCGCTGAGGATATCAGCTGTACTACAGCGCCTCCAGGGTGGTAGGAGCTCGCTGTCAAGAAAGTGGTGGTGGCTAATAGGGACCATTTGTGAGACAGGGCGGGGCGGTAGTTGACGTTGATGTGAGCGGCGAAGTAGGATCTGAGGCGCTGCCTGCTGCGCATACATCGACAATCGTTTGCGTGGATCTCTGTGAACATATCTGCTCCTGCTATGCTGCTGCTGCTGCTGCTGCTGCTGTTGCTGTTGCTGTTGCTGTTGCTGTTGCTGTTGTGGTAGCGCTGGCAATGGCTTGGTGCTGGGCTCATGTCGCGGCTGTTGCTTGCCTGGCGTTCGGGTTTCTTTGCTTGGTGGCGCTGGCGCACCCTTTCGAGCTGTAGCTGTTTTAAAACCAGGTTTTAGAGCGGAAGTAGTAGACTCTCGTCGGCGCGAAATAGAAGCAGCTATAGACCTTCGTAGACGGGTGGTGATGGACAATGAAGGCTGCGGTTCAGGCTGAGGTGGCGATTGTTGTTGTTGTTGTTGTTGTGGCGGTGGCGATGATGGTGATTTTGATGATAAAGAAGTGGAGGAGGAGCAGCTTAGTTGACCAATGCGGCCCAAAAACGACTGGCGTTTTTGCTGTTTTCTGGCTTTCGAAGCCAAGATAGAAGTGGAGGCATTCAATGCCATGTCATTGGAGTTTGTAAAAATGAAGAAGAAGAAGGAGGAGGAGGAGAAAGAAAAGACAGAGAAAATGAAAAGGGATTTTCTTTCGGGGGAGAGAGGGGTGGCAAAGAAGGCGTTATGTGCACTGTGTTTCTTTTATCATTGCACGAAACAAAAAAAGAACGTGGTAGCACAATAACTGCCAAAGAGTGCGTGCCATTTGTTGAGCACGTCAAATTGTAACAACCTATTTTCGATTCACATGCCGCATTTTAAGCCTCTCAGCTAGAGTAGCTCATCTCCCCCCGCCCCCCTCCCCTTTCCTTCTTGACGCATTTCCCGGCGCCGTGGCTCACCGTTGCGCCAAGCATCATAGTGTTGGTAGCAGCCGTAGATGGCACTGCGCGTAATGTAGAAGTATCTATATTAAGGAAGTAACTACAGTAATAATGACATGATTGTTACATTTTGAACATTTGTCAATAAATTACGAAACAAATTAGCGTGTAGAATCATCATTCACTACTATGCTGTCTTCTTCGGGAGTTTCTGCTTGCTGCTCATGGATGCGCAAGTATATACAAAGGAAACTTCTAACAGCTATGTCAACAGTGCCACCATCTTCCCCCCAAAAAAAATGCTTTTGCAGCTTCTTTTCGCCAAGAGGTATTATTCTGAACAGTTCATCCGTTCACGTAGCGATAAATAATTAAAGTGAGCAGGACGTATCCTATGCATACGATCTACTGTTTGTCCCTCATCACCATAATCATCATTAATCATTTGTCTATCTGCACGAGTCTCTTTTTTACTTGACAAGCGATTATTATGTCGAACCTGGATTATCTTGATGCAGGAGCAAGCCAAGACGGTTACACCTATGTGCGTACTATATGCAGGCGGGGTAAACTATGAGGATGCCTCTGATGTCTAATGCATGCTGTGTACATGTGTATAAATGATATTATAGACCATATATTTTACCGCACCGCCTTGTCCCGCACAAGCAGATGCACATGTATAGTCATTCACCGTGAAAAGTTGCCGATAATTGTTTTGATGCTGCACGTTAAGGAGCAGTTGATAAAGAGACTTGCTTTGTTTTCCTCTCTCCTTATGCGTGAGTGATTAATGAGGAGTAAGACGAGTGTAATCGAAAATTTGTATAAGTTTCTGCTTGACATGCCGATGCACAACTCTATTAAATAGCAGAAATGTTATGCTCATTGCTATATAGTTGAATGAGTGAAGGGAAGGATAAAGGAGGTCGCTCCATTACTAATACATCAGACATTGTCAATATTCAGACAGACGATAGGCATAAAAGAAACTCCAGACTTTTTGTACATATATGCAAAACCGGATTTGTACTATGTATCATATGCTGTAGTACCAGTGGCGCTAGCTAGTATCACATCTTCCTATGCTTCCTCTCGGGTTTGATACGGGTCAGTTGCACCACAGCAACGTTTCTTTATCGAACTTTGAGTAACTTTTTACCATTTGGGCCGTGTGTAACTCTTTCCATATAAAGCGACTATGTTTATACAGTATGTATCAAACACACAGACACCGCAGTACATGTTGGGCATCGCCTATCATGACTGCAATTCTGTGCTTAATTTCCTCCATTGTAAGTCTGGACCTCATAGACATAAACTTTCAGTGCTTGTTCTCATATGCGTAACCCTGTGAAAGTTGTTATACATTTCACGGACATGGATCCCAAGAAGACAAGTGCGGTGGTCACCGTGGTAGGTGCCACAAGAAGGCGAAGCTCGGGTTTCATACCACAGTGCGTAAAATGGTGTTGATTTTGGTACTATTTTCCTTCTTATGCGCTCACGGAACACAACCGTCGTTCGCCGATAAGCTTAAATGTCTGCTTTCTTCGATAATCATCACTTTTCTTTCTCGGAGTCATCAATCCGTGCTTTGCTGCAGCGTTTGAGCCACATGATGCACAAACGTGGAACCAGCTTCGGTAGTCTCGTTGCCACCGAAATTGCATGCTGGGGTCTTACTGTCAATCCTCTTTCTTCTTGGACACTACTACGGAGTACCATGCTGTCGCAGATTTCTTTTAAGGATGTCTTTTCGATCGCCGTTAACAATATCGTATTTTTCACCAATACCAATGAGACAACAGCCCAGTCCCAACGGTCATACCGACGCCGGCTGCTTTGACAACAATACAAATCACCAAAAGAAAACAGCAGTGTCTCGAAACGACCCCAATGTACTTTACAGAAAACATTAGTATAAACACCTTCACAGCAACTGCCCCGCCAGCAATAACCACCATCGCACGTTTCGTATCATGTACGCATAGTGTTGCTCTCAATACTTGACAGCTGTGCATTGTTCAGTTTATTAGTCTACTCGTCAACTCTTCCCATTTATGCACAACAAAATTGTCTTGCAATAGTCCTCTCCTACCAGGTCGAGCACCGCAAAAAGAAAGACTAAAATGAGGCCTCTATGATGTCAGCTTCAACACGGAGCCTAATGAAGGGGCTCCGGTACGTAAGCGGGCATGCTAAGGCAGCACTCTAAACTAGGTAAATTATCTGTATATGCTTTTATCGGAATAAGTCGACGATAAATAGATGAACTAGTCTTGGTTTTGATCCGTTCAAAGTTTAAGCAGCTATATAATTTGAGTAATATGTCTAGAAATGAGACTATAGCCTTGCTGGACACTTAATTTTTGCATTTTGAGAATCCATTTCCAACACGCGGTTTTCTTCGTATCGAGGGCGGTAGTTAGTGGAAGGTTAATTTTCATCACTCTAATCGGGGATGCTATATCTGTGGATACCCCACAACAACGAGCAATAAAAAGGAAAACAACATAATACATATATAAAACTGAGAGGCAGCATGCGCTTGTTTTCCCTCTGTATCCACAAAATACATCTATCATCCTATCAACCTTTACTGGGTCTACAGATGCGAAACATTGCTAATTAGCAGACGTTGTGAGTGCTTGTTCAAATGGATGAATCAAACGCTAGATTGCCACAGAGAGGCCGGATCAGACTTCTTATAGAGCTGGCACAGGCCTGGATCGAGTATATATGCTTTTATTTCCTGAAAAGCCCAACTCAGGTAGCCATTTATAATATATCCCCAGCTATGTATGATACTCCTCTCTTTCTTTCATTTTACAGTATTTCGCAAATGTCAAAGATACTGTACAAGCAAGGAAAGGATATGATTCTGTTACTGCCAAGATGCTATATTGCTCTTGCTAATGTGCTCATTCTTTTTACTCGACAGACTTTCGATAGCGATAGTCCAAGTACTCATCGGATGTCAATGCAAGAATATCATCTGGTACATATTCATTAGCGGGTTGATTCTTTGGAATAACTGGGCTAGGCATGCCCGCCAGCTTTCAGGTTGCACAAAGTATGCAACCAATACAGTATCGATCTTGTTTTTCCTGCTCGCGTGTAAATACAACACAATGCAAAGGAGCATGGAACAGATTATGCGTCCAATACCTCAGCGTCCCAGAAACATTGATTGTTGATATCATTTATCCAAGCTGTCTTAGTAACAATCTCTTGTTTCTTCTCCCCTCTCGTTTCCGTTCGCGTACGTGCTGCCTTTTTAATAGGAAGGAAATAATGAACAATTCTTATAGCATTCTCCTTAGCAGGTGAAACAGAGACACACCCACCATTGTCCTTCAACTTTACCTCCAAACCAGGTACACCGTTGTGTAAGAGCAAGGTGATTGAGTCATAGTCGGTGTGCTCGTCAGCTTGGAGCTCGTCTCTGTGTTTTTCTGCATCGCCCGCGTGGATAGCGTTGGAAATGGAGTACACCCGGTGCTCTGGGCATGTTATACCGGTTGGCTGACTGAGCAAATCACTTGTAGTTCCATCGTCTTTTCATGACTGCTGTTGTTCATTAAGAAGCTTTTATGTTATGCATTCAATATTCACTGTGATAAATGATCATAAGGAAAAGAGAGCAAGTGAAGCTACTGCTTAACCAGGTTTTATGCTGTACATGTAGCAAAGTACCAGATTACCTTGAGTTTCATTGAAAGGAGCTCCATTATTTGCAAATCCAGGGCGTGTAGATCCTATGCGTGTGATGTCTACCAAGATAGCGAAAACATATTAGCAGTGTGCATATAAAAAACATGTTCTGTTTTACACTACAGTAGTACAAGCAACTGTATACCTTCGAGAATGTCTCAATGACATTTTTATGTTCTATTTTAGCGCCATTGACATCATATGGCTAGGGTTGGTATCGTCTCTGAAAGTCATGAAGTCGTATGCTCTGCAACCAAAGTGATTCATAATGATGGTGGCGAGTGTTGATTATAATCAGCCACTTTTTTGTCACTATGTAGTTTATAACGATCATACAATTATGCTCATTGATAAAAAGAAATTAGGTTCTTCCCTTTCTCATTCATTACTTACTCCTTATGATATGGTTGTGTTTTGTTTCTCGGAAGAATTATGCTTGATTTTTTTTGTTCGAGATTGAACTGTAAACATACATGATAAATGGAAAAAAAAACATGAACGCGACGAGAATACAATACCTCTAGCTATAAAGACCGAGATATTCTTCATAAGCTTTGCCTACCTTCTTGGTATACTCAGTCTTCATTTCAGCCGACAACTCAAAGATCATCTACTATAAAGGAAACTGGCTGATAAGAACATGCTTTTTTTGCTTTTATATGATTTGAAAAGCTTATATGTCTTTTTTTTACCAGCGAAAAGGCTTGTGCGACTTGCGATGAGGCCACCGAGTGATTGATAATGTAGAAAGATCAAGCGTTTTGCACGCATTAAAGACTCGCTCGGAAATGGTCCTGCGTTTGGCATCAAAATGTTAAAAGTCTACCACCGGTACGCTTGGGTTAGTCATTTTAGATAATGAATGAGAGAAAAAATGTGAGACAGAGAGACAGAGAGTGCACATCCCTGATTTATGATTCGCTGTAAATGTATGATGATCATGCAAGCGCTCATGCTATTTTCTTTCGTGTGACGCAAGATTTGTTTATGCACCCTATGCATCTAACTATAAAATGATATATAATGCTGGCAACAGAGAGATCACGTGTATTAAGAGTGATTTGGTATGGTTTACGTTCAATGGGTACAATTTTTGGTGTCGCTTTTGCTACCAGTACTAGTTTGTAACAACAGATTTCATAAAGATAAGGTGGATTAAGTGCATAGAGGGAGTAGACAATTAACAAGGTCACGAAATACCAATAGAAAGACGGTCCAAAAAACGGGTTGTATAACTGTTGTCGAGCAAACGGTCAGCATGTACCTTATCGGTGTCGAATGTCGGTCTACGTATATAATGGATGTACCAATGCAATTCATTCCCCTGTCTGTTTAGTCGTGTTTTCCGTACTTTTATGCGAAGCAATCAACAACACAGAATCATTCTTCATATTATGTTTTCCACTGATCCTATTACTGTATTTGCCACGAATATGTGCATCTCGAGGATTTATCTGGAAGAGGCCCTTCCTTCCCTTATTTTTTTCTTATCAAAAATGAGCCACCATCATTGATTGCTGGTCATACGAGGTATAAAGAAAAAATAACAGAGGTGGTACTGTTCAAAGTTATTACAGTACAAAAGTCACAGTACTATAGTATTAAGAAGGAACATCAACAAAAATTACATGAACAGCGGAAATTTTTCTAGCAGCAGAAGTTTGAAGCAGTATACAACTAAGCATCGATTATCTTCTGTTCTTGTAGAGCAGTATGAATGCTTCTAGTCTCTTTTCAAATATGATGAGCTCTTGAAGCGTTCCATCATGTATTCGTCCGATGTCAATTCTCTGTCGGTAGGAACGTCCTCGAGATCTGGCATTTTGGCCGGAAGCAACGGACTAGGCATACCAGTGAGCATGGTGTTGGTCTCTGGGACGACGAAGAATGCGATAGAATATCTATCGTTGGCCTGCAACTCTGGCGTAGCGACAACACGATGAAGTGCACCCTTGAGCAATCCTCGGGTCCAATATTCCAGCGCACCACCGACATTGACTGTGATCGTGTATGACAGCAGAGAGTTAATTAGCGACGTATTGGAGCTTTAAGAAACGCAGCTAGCTGATCCAGAAAGTAAGGGTTCAACTATACCAAGATACTAACCGAGAATAGCATCGTCGACCTTTGGAATTTCAGTCCAAACACCATCAATTTCGACTTGCAAACCAGCAATGTCTCTTTGAGAAAGCAATGTAATCGATCCATAATCCGTATGCGCAGAAGCAACCACTTCCTCATCACGACCGGTTGACTCTACGCTTGGGTAACGAAGGAAACGCAAAATACTGGTAGCAAATGGTTTTTCATATCGATGGCGCGAGCTCAAATAGTCGTTGGCTCCAGTTTCTGGATTTGCAGGAATCTAATAACCAGTAATAACATATTTCATATATAAGGAAACGATTGATAAAGCTGCTGTCAAAGAAGCATTATAACATCAGCTGTCGTAAGGCTATACATCACCTGTAACGCAAATGCAAGAAGCTCGAAGATATTCATTACTGTTGAATGCATACCCTATAAAGGAATCGCAAAAAATGGCACTTGGTAATGTGGACAGAATGCAAGTTTGTCTGGTTTTGCCTATATGAGAAGACGCTATACCTTATAGAACGCATCTAGCTCTTGCTTGTTGTCTTGAAAAGCAAAAGGGAGATTTTGAGGTTTGGAAAGAGGCAAAATATCAAACACTCTATAACAATCCGTAATTTATAATACTAGATGTATTAGTAACCTGATAATAGAAGTGGTATAGATGCAACAGCTTGCCGCGGTAAAGATAATATTCGGGAACTTGCTCTTTGTCATTGTCATAGACGATTTCTTTATCGTCCACTCTAGAAAAGCAATTGTATTAGTGAAGCTCAAATGGTGCTGCGCCCCGGAATCAATAATATCTTTAAGCCCGCTGACGATACGCACCTTTGCGGGGTAAGACTAATGTAACCTTCGAGGCAGCTCAACTCGAACTTGCCAAATCGGATCTTGGTTTCTGTCGGTTGTGTAAAGAAAGCTTCACTCTAATAAGCGCATATAGTATAATAATTTAGTTTAGCCTCTTCTTAGATAGCATTCTCGTGCTCGGATCTAGTATACCATTTCGAAAGCACGTTTAAATTGCAATGAAGTAGGACCATTGTGATTTTTAATGTAAAAGAAGCCAATGGTCCTGCATGCCTCGAGCACCTCCTTAGCAATAATGTCGTATCTGTTTCCAAAATCGCTAAAGTCGACTACTGGGAAGTTTTGGTTGTTGGCCATATTTTACAAAGAAGGTACAAAGTATCAATAGGGAGTGCGCGACTGCTAAACGGCTACATATAAAGCTATTGCCAAAGTTCTACTGCGCCGCTCAGGTGGTTCTCCAACTATTACTGCGCCTCTAATTCAATGCCGACCCATTAACGAGACAGAAAAGTAGGATGCTGCGCAACATCCAAATTCGTCAATCATGGCAAACTTAAGTATAAAATCTTGAGGTCCACCAAAGTCCACCTGGGTCCACCATTTTTTGAAATCCCGATAGCAGGACCACAGTGATATCCAGCGATATCATTGGTTATACCGAATGATATCTGCGAATATCAATTGTTGGGGACCGTTTTTATAAGTAGAGCCGTGGACCTGCTTGTTATTAATAAAAGAAGAGCTTGGTATCTTTAGAATAATTACAGAAAACCTTCAAAATGCTTTAAATGAACCGGGCATTGATTCCATGTATTCAAGGAAAGGTTAATGTCATCCGAGATTGCAGAATAAGTTTTTTAAATCGTGCTGTTCTTAATGAATGAGCTGCTCTAGGTCGTGTAATTTGTATCATGCTAGCTACATACAGCAACTGTACCACTCAAAGAGCCTACATTTTAGTGATCTCTCCAATACTTTCAATGTTAGATGACAGTGATATGGATGCCATGGTGTTAGCAAAACTATTACACTCTAACATACACGTAGATCCAACATCAGTGTCTACACTTCAGACTAACCCTATCTTTCTTCTGTCTCGTCAGGTACCTTGTTGATAGCTTTCAAAAAGCATTGGTATAGATGGCACATTGACTCAGTGGATTGGACGGTATACGCTATTCTATCTATGCTTGAGATATTAACAATGTTTTCTCTCCTTTCCTGTACTTTGAACATGTAACAGACACTAGGTAGAGATAGTTAGTGTTGTGTAGGAACATGTCATATCTTGTTCCTTTCTTTGCCTGACTGATGAATAACAGCAACTTATTGCTGCCATTGCAACGATTATAAAACCACTTTGTAACCGCTATCGACCGATGAACTAACTATAAGCAGTTCTAATGACTATCCTTCCTTGATAACTGCTCAAGATTTATGTATTCACAATGCATTTTGACAGCGGAAGGTGCGAAAAACCAGCGCAACATCTGCAGCAGTACGAACATTTTTGGAGAGAAAAACTAATCTACATCGCCTTCATTTAAACAACATATTTCTGTTCCCAGTAATACATTATCGCCATGCTGCTAACCATGTATCGTTCGTGGTATACACAGTCGTCTCGAGTGTCCATTATTAAATTACTAAAATTAGAGCCATATCCAGTACTGCGTGTATATATATAATCTAATTCCTACATCTTAAGCTCTGCATCAAGTGCAACTAATTTATCAAATGCATTTCATCATGCTTCAGAAAACGTACTATAATAAGCATTCCCTATTCAAAACCATTGACAATCATTTTTAGGACAGGCCTCGTGAGCCCATGAAACAAAAGTTATATATTCTTTGAAAAAAAAAAAGGGCCAAACAAGGCCACGAAACAAGCAAAAGTTAAAAAGAAAAAAAAAAGCGAGGCAAAAACCATCATGGCCAACAGACCACAACATGAAAGTAATACAATAAAAAAAATATGGCTAAGCAAGGCCAATGTTAGAAAGTTGAAAAAAAAAGCGTGTCAAAGGGAAAGCTAGCGAGTGAAAAAAAGAACAAGATGGTGAAATGAATATACAAAAAGTTTAAAGTGTATCAAAAAAACATAAGTCTTTCGATAGTGAATCTAATGAGGTAATGCCGACAGCGAGATAGTGTCTATGTATAGTGTCCAACGCTTCTGGTACTCTTTCTTGCATTCCTTTTCTTTCGATATAATCTTGAACTTTCCGAATAATCGCTCGTCTTCTACGAAACCATTTGCCGTCTGAATCACTTTTTCGCCATGCAGTTTTGTACACTTCTTCCATTCTAATCACAGACATGCCGCCATTCCAACCGTCAAACCATTCAGTCCATAATTGTGGGATTGTTTGGACGTTTGTGCGGTTCATGGATGGATATATGGGCTGTTGTTGTTGGGGGCGATGATGATGGTGATGAGTTGGTGCTGATGCTGCTGACGATGATGATGACGATGTTGGTGCTGGTGCTGCTGACGACGACGACGAAGATGATGATGGCGCTGGTGCTGCTGATGGCAGTGCCACAGTTGCTGTCATGGTGGATGGGAGGGAGGAGGACGAGGACGGGAGCGAAACCGAGCCCCAACCTTCCTGCTGCTGTTGTTGTTGCTGATCTTGTTGTTGTTGCTGCTGCTGACCTGCCAAGTTGAGCGTGACGCTCAAGGACACTTGTCCGCTGGCGATGCGGTCCCAATGCTGTACAATATCTCCTATACGACTCATGTTTGGTGCAAGCTGCGCAAGTGCTTCCAGAGTGGGTATGGCGTTAGAGAAAGATTGTACGATGCGATTGGTGTCTTGTTGCTGAGCAGCGATTTGTTGTTGTATTTGTTGTTGCAAGATGGCAAGTCTATTTTCAATGATCGGCACGGCACGTTGAAGTAACAGATCAGTGGGCTCTTCGTTGTTTTCAAGTGCATGATTCAAGTTACTATTTTAAAAGGATAATTAGTATATAAACGAAAGACTGTAGTCCACCAGCACATACCGTTCAAATTCAAGATACAAAGGATCACGGAACAAAGGATCTTGCCACAAATGATGACCTGGACAGCGCTTTTTCATCAAAACCGAATCTTGCAAAAATACAACACGCAACTGCACAAGAAGACGCAAAAACGAATCAGCCGCGCACGAGTCCTCCACTTGTTTGGCATCCAGCAACGCCCGCCACCGATCGACTTCAGGAAAAACCTTCTTGCAAAGCTCAAGGGGTGGTGTAACAGCAGCACGAGGTAAGTAGAATTGGCCAGCCTCTCTAGTGAATCCTGCCATGGTCCGCAAGATATCACGAGGCAAATTGGTTAGATAACTGGTCGATAAAGCAGAATTATTCCAACGACCTAATCGCCGGATAGACTCTTCGCTCGTTCCAGATATCTCTGCCATGCGTGCTGACGAACCCCTCATAGCGTGAGTGACCGCTTTACTGTGAATGCCGACTGACTTGAATGCTTCTAAAATACACTCGCGATGACGATCATACGTAATGGACTGCGTGTTGCGATCTCTGCCTCTGATGAGCTTGATGTCGAACCAATCTCGATTGCTTTGGAAACAAGGGAATGCCTCACCAGCAACGTGCCACCGATGAAAGAGATAAAAGGAAAGCATCATCAAAGGACAGATAACAACATTGGCGTTACGCATCGCAGCAGCAAACTCCACACGGCCCTCTTGGTTTGTTTTTCCTTGCTTAAGCACCATCACCAACGCATGACATTCAGTGACACCCTCGCGCTCAAGAAGTAACGTTTGTAGATCGGCAAGTTCCATCATACGAACGCTTTCGCCCCGTAGAAGTCCATAGTGTTGCAGAAGAAAAGCAGTGCAGTTTCGCAGTCCTTGTTGCTTGTTGGTGGCCAGAAAATGATCTACAATACGCTCCATCTCAGCTGATGTCGAATAACCATCTGCTGTCGTACGCATGCCTCTGTCTTCGTAGTTTTGTCGACTAAGCTCCTTTTCCACACGTTTCAAATGATCAACCAGTGCATGAACAAGCGGGCCACGCGGATGCGGACGATTGAAGCAAGGATCTGTTTCGGCTTGTTCAAAATGGAGATCGACAATGGAAGTAATGTATTGTTTAACGGTAGCAAGCTTGACTTTGGGGGCGGGGGCATCAGGCGCAACAGGTTGCTCAACGGTATAACCCGGAGCATCGCGTACAGGTAGAGCAGCAGATGATGACGACGACGATGATGGCAAGATGGTGGTGACGGGCGAGAGAACAGCAGCAGACGACGATGATGGCATGACGGCGGTGGCGGGCGAGAGAACAGCAGCAGACGAGGATGATGGCATGACGGCGGTGGCGGGCGAGAGAACAGCAGCAGACGAGGATGATGGCATGACGGCGGTGGCGGGCGAGAGAACAGCAGCAGACGAGGATGATGGCATGACGGCGGTGGCGGGCGAGAGAACAGCAGCAGACGAGGATGATGGCATGACGGCGGTGGCGGGCGAGAGAACAGCAGCAGACGAGGATGATGGCATGATGGCGGTGGCGGGCGAGAGAACAACAGCAGCAGGCGAGGATGATGGCATGGTGGTGGTGGTGGTACGCATGGCAGGAGCGGGTGACGAGGCGGGCGACAGCACAGAATTCTCTGGCTCTTTTCTCTTTCTTCCAGGTTTACGCTTCTCTCTGAAGACGACCTAAAAAGAACACAATTGTAAGACATGCGTACATATATAGATTGCGAACAGATATGTGGCTAACCTCTTCCACAAGAAAAAGATGAAGCTTTCTGTCGTCGATCAACTGGTTAGTGTGATCATTTGGACAGCGTCTTCGGCACCACTCGAGAAATTCTTCCTGCCTGGGAGAATACGATCTAACTGTATTCTGCGGACGGCTTCCTCGTGCTTGTTCGTATGTAGCTCGAGCAGCAGATTCAGCAGCTGCTTGATACTCCATTTGCGAGCTCATGAAAGAAGTATACTGTGGTAGAGGGGGAGGGACAGGGAGAGAAAGAGGACGTGGTGAGGCACCATTACTCGCCACCACACGGCCCGGGCGATTAGCCAAACGGGCGGTGCTTCTCCTAGCGGGAGTAACAGTGCTACCACGACCTCTGCTCATGTTGTTAAGATAGTGAACGATTTATTGAGGAATGGAAATGAGATGAAGGAAACGGAATCTGACAGATGTGCCTGACAAAAGAAAAGTGGCGAAGCTTCGAAAATTCTTTTTTTTTTCCTGGATATCAAGATTGGGTCCCCGCCATGCTGTGGACCTGAGTCCGGACCCGCACTAAACACAAAATGATATTGCCAAAATATGATCCACCCATTCCTTTGGTTGAATATATATTTAAGTTTAGGGTAGTAATTGCTACTACTTATCATGTAAGCTCTTTGGAAATTCCAGTAAATCAGCAAATTATTTTGACGGTTGTCATGGAAGCAAAATCGACTACATACAAAATGAGCATATGATAAGATCATTATGATACTACGTAGGCGAAGAGTCTCTTTATACAGTAGAAAGGGCCAAAATTACTACGGTAACTTAAACAATGATAATACTTCGCTTTCTGTAATGGCATCTTTTATCGCTGATGATAAGCTACACCACAGTGTTTGTCTTGTTGAACTATGATAGCGCCACCATTAAAAGTGATCTTGTAAAGTCCCCTTGGTAATATTCACAAATTAAATTTGTACTAGCGGTCCTTCCTCGCTTCGCTCCACGTCATTCAACGGAAACGCGTCTTGACCCCAGGTTGGGGGGCAGGCTTCCCCAAACCACCCTGTGGAGCGAGGTTACATCAGTGTTTTGGCATTAGATGCTTATTGTCTGTTTTCAAAAAATAAAAGCAAGATCATTGTGCAGTGAGAAGTAGTCTATCATAGGAAATTACCAACAGTTTGATACTTAACTACTGTATTAATAGGCGCATTGCATCGTCAAGAAGACGTCGCCGTGCAGATTCCTGCTCTGGATAAAAAAGAAAGATAAAAAAAACCAAAGGCGACGAACATGACTTTTTTGTTGCATTATAACATGTTAGGAGTACTCTATACTACGTGATTTCCATTACAAACAGAACAGATACGACGGAGTGAGAAGTGTATAATGTTGATTTGTGTCAAAAATAAATCCTTTTTTACTCTAATTCTTCTTTCAAAGAACTATATAGAGCGTTTCCCTCTTATATTTGTAACACTATTTACAGAACCAAGGTCATTCTCTTATTTTAGTTGCTGGCAGCCTTAGTAGCGGCCTTCAATGCCTGGTCAAAATCCCACTTGATATCATCGATATGTCTAGTTGAAAACATCGTCAATATCGTCATAAATTGACCCTCTCTCCCTCCCCTTCGCTCCTGCTGAAAAACTTACTCAATACCAACGGAAACACGAATCATGTCCTTGGTGACACCGCTGGCTTCTTGTTCCTCGTCAGTCAACTGTTGATGGGTAGTCAAAGCAGGAGCAATAATTAAAGTCTTCGCGTCACCGACATTTGCCAAATGCGAGGCCAACTTGACGTTCTCTATGAATGCCTGAAAGAGTTCATACGTTATTAGTTTCAGGATTATCATATTCACTCTGCAATAAGCACAAATTGTGCCGAGTCCCTCGCCCAACAGCGTTTCCTCGCCCTATTTCCATGTATTTACCTTGAGCGAACCTTTAGCACCAAAACTTAATACACCACCAAAGCCGTGCTTGAGATACTTTTGTGCAGTCTTGTGGGATGGATGTTCTTCCAAGCCAAGGTAATTAACCCAGTTGACATCATCCCGGCTCTTCAGCCAACGAGCGAGTTCCAAAGCATTGTCAACATGGCGCTGGACACGCAGCGACAAGGTTTCGAGACCTTGCAACAACAAGAAGGAGCCGAAAGGATTCAAGCAGGCGCCAATGTCACGAAGCGACTCGGTTTTCAAACGGAAAGTGAATGACAAGGGGCCAAAGGTTTCCCAGAAACGCATACCATGGTAACCCTCGGAAGGTTCAGTGAAATCAGGAAACTTGCCGTTGTTCCAGGGAAATTTACCAGAATCGATAACTTTTCCGAGGAGAAGGCAAAACATGCGTTGTTTAGTTTTTTTTTATGGTCATGGGTAAGTATATTCTGAATGTCAATAACATACCAACACCGCCAATCGTAGTACCGTGGCTACAACAGAGATAGAATCATGCATGATAAGGTAAGTTTCACAGTGCGTGTGAAAAAATTACATTCATTTCTAAGCATTTACCCTCCAATCCACTTGGTGGCCGAGTGAACGACAATGTCAGCGCCATGTTCGATGGGTTTAACAAGATAACCTCCAGCCCCAAAAGTGCTATATTAAATGTCATTCCAACAGTATACATATCTGGTCAGCATCTAAAAATAATCCATCTCATCTTGATACGGATTAGCAGGATCCAAGATGCTGAAAAGCCATACGTACTTGTCAACAATGAGAGGGATGCCGGCATCATGAGCAACCTTGGCAAGAGCCTCGAAATCAGGCACAGAGTAAGCAGGGTTGCCGATGCTCTCGACATAGACAGCCTTGGTATTCTCATCGATCTTCTTCTTGAATTCTTCGGGATCCAAGCTGTTGACAAACTTGACTTTGATGCCGAGACGGGGGAAAACGACCTTGAACTGGTTGTAGGTGCCGCCATACAAGTTGGATGCAGCAACAACATTGTCACCCGACTTGGCCAAAGTTGCCAGGGTCAAAAACTGGGCAGCCTGACCAGATGACACAAGGGTGGCGGCAGCTCCCTTTTCCAGAGCAGCAATGCGCTTTTCAGCAACATCGTTGGTAGGATTCATGATTCTAGACCGCGCACCGTCCTTGAGTATACATTATCATTTTACCGTCCCTCAGCTCCTTGTCCCCGTTTCGTATATAGACACACATGCCGTTGTCTTTTTTTCTCAGGTTACATACCTGGAGTAGATGTTTCCAGATTCCTTCAAGGCGAACAAGTTGGCACCGTGATCGGTGCTGTTGAAAGTGTATGAAGAAGTGGCATAGATGGGGACAGCGCGCGAGTTGGTGGCCTTATCAGGTTCCTGGCCGGCATGAAGCTGAAGAGTGTCAAAGTGTAAAGTAAGGTCGTCAAGAGTCATTTTTGCTTTCTTTGTGAGATGGAACGGAAAAGAGGAGTACCCGCTTGAGGATTGACAGCAGGCTTTTAAATGAGTATGAATGCAAACTCAGTCAACACAATTCACACGAGTGATGGCGTACTCGGATGCTCACGTCTTTTTCGTGCCACATAATCAGTTTCAATTTTATGTCACCTTGCTGTCGCGTAGATTGTTATGCACACAACCTGCATCATCTTCCTCTCACACCATCAGATCTAAACTTTGTCACGAGACTTTTCTATAAACGTTTGTACGACCTTTATCCCTCCGACCACTCGCTCTTTCCCGCATTCTTTTCGTGATGGTGACATGGTTGATCGATCTTGGTTAGGGCTCATATAAAAGATATCGTAAAAGACTCTGCGTTTCAATAGAAACATAAACAGTCGAGGAGGATGATGGAACCATTATGGATTTCCTGTGTTTCATAATAGCGCACTGCATCAGAAGAGATATGCAGCTGCGACCAAATTTAGGTTGGCGCAACTCCATTCTCGGCCTGTCCTTCTTTACTTCTTCAAATAAAGTTTCGTAATATGCCTTTTGGCCAGGTAACATATACTATGATCCTTACTTGTAGAGCACTCAATTCAAGCACGCACAGTTTTAAGAGATTACGTGTAAAGCAAAACGTCCATTGAATCTGACGAGATCGTGTATACAAGATTATTGTAGGTCCACCGGGATCTGGCAAAACAACATATTGTTGGGGTGCTTACCAATACTTGACAGCGATCGGCAGGTAATTCAGCAAATCAAACCCGTATTACTTTGACTTGATCGTAATTTTACTTTTTGCTATGCTCAACAGAAAAGTTGCAATCGTGAATCTCGATCCAGCAAATGACACTATACCTTATCCTTGTCAAGTCAACATTGCCGATTTGATTACGTTGGACGACACCATGCGCGAATTAAGCTTAGGTCCTAATGGCGGTATCATGTTTTGTCTAGAGTACCTATTAGAAAATCTCGATTGGCTTACCGAAAAACTTGAGAGCCTTCAAGGTAATACATACTTACTTTACACGCGGGAGTGGTAATTCGCAGTTGTTGTGTCTTGTGTTGTTGCTTTAGAGAGACCATGATTGCCAAACTTACATTTTTCTTAAAATATTCTGTTAAGATCATTATATCTTGTTTGACTTTCCTGGCCAGGTTGAACTATTTACGCATCACAACGCGGTTAAAAAGATTCTAGACAAGTTGGAAAAACTGAATTATCGGGTGTGTATAGTAAAAAAGGGAGGGATGAAAGCGTGTTACTCTGTTCAAGTACATATGCAGAGCTTATACTCAACGTTTACATATGCAGCTTGTTGCTGTGCATTTAGTGGATGCACATTATTGTACCGATCCAGCCAAGTACATTTCGGTTTTGTTACTGTCACTCAAGACCATGATCCAACTCGAGTTACCACACGTCAATGTTCTCTCAAAAATTGATTTAATTGAATCCTATGGCAAACTGCGTACGTACAAGCGAGCGAATAGTAGAAAAATATATGTGATTCGGTTTAACTAAACTAATTTCTCATGTAGGATTCAACTTGGATTTCTATACTGATGTGATGGACCTTTCGTATCTTCTTGATTCTTTGAACGAGGACGCGTTTGGATCAAAGTTCAAAAAGCTCAATGCCGCACTAGTTGATCTCATCGAAGACTTTTCGTTGGTTGGCTTTTACACGCTGTGCGTGGAAGACAAGGATTCGATGACCAAACTACAGCAGGTGATTGACAAGGCAGGCGGATTTGTGTTTGGTGGTTTAACAGAAGGAAACGGATCTATCATGCTGTCAGCCATGAAATCTGGATATCATGAAGATGTGCGGGACATTCAAGAACGATGGATGGAAGAGCCGGATGTGGATGATAATATGTGAAAGTACACACCGTGTGGTATATATAAAGGAGACCATTACCGGTCTTGTAAATATCTTATGAGCAGAAGAAAAAAAACGGTTGTATCCTCTTGTTCTGTACTGTAAATATTGATCATTGAAGAAAAATTCGAACTCTAGCCATCTGCACCAGCTTGGCGTTTGACCTTGAATAAGCATAACATCTACCCGGCCTTCCTTACTGGGACGTTTCCGCTACCGTACTCGCAGTAGTTTTTATATATACGTAGACGTATAATCATCCTTTTGAGCACCCGGCTGTGTGTAGGCCTATTGGGCTAGTAATAATACAGAATGAGTATTTAAGTTGCCTCAAAAGATACCGCAATGAGCAGCAGGTGTTGGTAAAATTGGCGAAAAGTGATGAGCAACCTCAAATGGAGCATATGCACTACAGTATGTACATACCGTTTTCAAGCAGGTGCAGTTCTGCTATCACATACGTTCCTTTGCTTTACACTAATAATGCATTAAAAATGTGATCTTCAACAAACGACGAATTCGATATTATCGATCAATTACTTATAGAATACAGAACGGTGACGATGATAATGAAAAGAATAATTTACTGGATATGAAAACCATACAGTATCATGTATTGAACGACAGGAATAATCTTTACAGCAAGAATGCATTTAATAAAACAGACAAATGAAAAAAGCAACTTAAAGCTATTTATCATACTGTATAAGGACACACGATATGATCATGGCGATCGCAATGACCATACTGTATATCGTGTAATCAAGAGAAGCAAAAAACTTAAGTATATCCGCAGTATCATACATGTTTCGAGTTTTTATGATATCGAGCACAATGTTTATATACAATTGTCTGTTTGCATTAGATCAAAAAACTTGATGGTACGGCGTAGCATAGCACAACTGACTACTTATAGTAAACTATTTTATCTACTATTACAGAAATATGTACTGGTTGTCTCTTTCTTCTGAACGTTTGCATCAAAATATATCTGTCGTTGTAAAGCTTTATGTCATTATTTACAGTGGTTCATGTGGAAAGAATGAGAGACTCTAGTACTTACATGATATATGGCGAAGTACATTTTGGCATTTTTTCAAGCATAAGAAGTAAATGTTAGTAAAAGAATTATACGCAGTTAGTATCTTATAATGACACATATATCAGGTTTTCTTTTGCTTTATAGAATGGGATGACGATGACGGGTGGATTATTTAGCGAAGCCATCTCAAGTGTTTGAAGCTGGTCGTGAGTAGTACAGTATAGGATGATGATGATTCTATCGTCTGCGCTGTTGCTGCTGTTGCTGCTGTTGGTTCCTTTGACAATGCGAACCACATGACTACCTTGCATAATATCCTGAGCGTCGTAAGCCGTGGACAATGTTCCATAAATCGAGCGAAAATAGTTTGCGTGGATAGGCAGGGGCGAATTCACGACCGCGTCTCCGTCACCATATTATTAGACGAGGTATCCAACTTGGTTGTTGGGAAAATATATTATTCCCTGCTGTTCCATTCGTTTTAAAGACGAGATTTTGAGTTTTTTCTTTGAGAGGACGATTGATTTGTTGATATCGGCAATTAAGGCGAACTATGAGCAGAGTCTGCTCCCTCACACACAGGGGACAGAACAAAGTACCGCCGACTAATAAATCAAAATTCTGACTGGGCTAATCGTAAACTCGCATCGTTATTGGCTCAATCATCTTCATCCCGACCGAAGCTTCTCTCTCTCGCTCTTCTCGCTCTTTCTCCCAAAACAAAGCACACTATGACGAAGCGTATATAAATAAACTGAAGCATATTCATCGTTATTGATCAATTGAATCCTGGAAAAGCATCTGGTAAAGATCGACTACCAATGGTTGGGGCTGCCTGGTAATGGGCTATAAAAACATACATGTGTTCTGACATCTCTGTAGCCTTCGCAATCCTTAATCCTAGATTTAGACGTTAACAACTTGTCATCAGTTTTTTCCGAGGCATAACTTGATGCTATTGAGCCAGGCTTTTGGGGATCCGTTGCTCCTGTCTCTATCTCCAGAAATTACTAGTACATATTCTCGACGATGTTGCAAAGCTGGTAAGAATAAAAGGAAATAATAGCAGCAATTGCGGTGGCAGGTGCTCAGTAAGAAAAAGCTTTTACCCGGGCTTTATTTTCATATTTTAATTTTTTCATTTCTTCTTCTTTTTCCCTCAAAATATTATCATTTTTACTTTTTATCTCTTCTATTTGTTCTTTCAATAAATTATTAATTTTTTTAAAATCATCTATCAAATTTTTATTATCAATTTTAATATTAGAAATAACATCTTCTAAATTTTCTATTTTTTCCTTATATTCTATATGAACATCTTTTGTTATATTATCATATATTTCTTGTTGTTCACTATCTTTTTCCATATTTTCCTTCTCCAAATCATTAATTTTTATAGAAAAAATTTTTATTTATTGTTGTAATTAAACATTTTTACTTAATATTTCTTTATATTCATTTGTATCTACTATATTAATTTTTTTAACATCTTTTTCTTTATTTTCAATTTCTGATTTTAATATTATTAATTCATTATTTTTTTCTTCGAGCTCAGATTTAACCTTAAAAAAATTATGAGAATAAGATCTAAAATTTAATGCTTCTTCTTTATAAAAATTCTTTTCATCTATCAACTTTTTATTTCTTTCATCTAATGAAAAAAAATCATTTTCTAATTGTTTTTTATCTTTTAATAAATTATCATATTTATAGTTTAATTCCTTATTATTATTATATAAATTACAATATATTTCTGAGTCTCTACATTGATGATCATCAATTTTTTGTTCTAATTCTCCATTTTTTTCTAATAAACTTAAATAAATATCATTTTTAATAAGATCATCATCTGTATAATCTTCTATTTGTTTAAAACTACAATTAATATTATTAATTTTTAATCTACCAAGTTAAGTAAATTTATTATACAATTACCAATGAACGCTAAATGTCCAGGATCAACCTATTCAGAGTAGACAAACTTGGGGTAAGTGTAGTCAGGTATATTTAACCTTCTAGATAAGCTCAATGATAATCTTTTTGACATATTGTGAATATCATCATTTTCATGATAAGATATATGTTTAAAATGTCTAAAATTAGGATCGTATCTTATTCTATTTAAGTCTGCCATGATTTTATTTTTTAAGATAACCAAAATTCAATTTTATCCATTTTCTTTTTTATTTATCTCATTGTAAACTTTATTATTTAATACATTAACCAATTCTTCAAAAGATTTTTTTTCTAAAGGATTTTGTTTTATTGGTTCAAATGTTTTTGTAGTTTTTTTCATCGAATTAGGTAGAGTATAAAATTTTTCTTCTTTATTATTATTTTTTTTTATGTCTTTTTTAAAAATGACATTATTATTAATACTATTTATTTTTTCATCTAAATATTGTAACCATTTATTCCATTTTTCTTCATTTCTCAATTTATTTAAATCAGAAATATTAAAATCTATTAATTTTAATTTATTTAATTTATTAATATATTTATTATATATTTCATAACATTTTTTTACTCTTAATCTCCATCTTTCTCTATTACTTTTATTAACATCAGTACCTCTTGTTTTCAATTTATATATAGCTGCATCGTTTAATGCATCAAATTCAAAATTATTTTCTTTTTCAGATTTATTAAATTAATAAACAATTCCATGGAAGCTTCAGTTCTTGTTTCATTATTATTATAATCAAAAACATTCACTCTACATCCATAATTTTCTTCATCATCTTTATTGTCATTTTTAGAAAAGACTTTTTTTTTGTTTTCGCTCTATTAATTATTGTGGTTTGACATTTTGTTTTTTTACTATGTATTAGACCACGCCATTTCAAAATGTTGTTTCATTGCTGTGTATGTTCGTTTATACTTTTTTTCTTCGTTTTCTCTCAAGTACGCTGGTTCACTCTACGTTGCGACCCTGAAGGACGAGTCTATTGAATTAGTTTGTCCGAGTGACGCTGGTTCACTCCACGTTGCGACCCTGAAGGACGAGTCTATTTAATTAGTTTGTCCGAGTGACGCTGGTTCACTCCACGTTGCGACCCTGAAGGACGAGTCTATTGAATTAGTTTGTCTGAGTGACGCTGGTTCACTCCACGTTGCGATTTTGATGGACAGTTTATTGAATTAGCTTGTCCGTGTAGCTGATTCCCTCCATATTGTGTGAAAAATAAGATACCAACATTTTTCTTTCCGTATATCAAATAGGCTTATACATGGATCGTACTCGTAGATAGCGTCAAGGATTAGAAGAAGATCACATGTTTTTCTGGCGGAAATAAATCGAGAAAACTTTATGCATCCGTTATGAGAGGCTATGGTGGCCCAATGGGTTGCAGAAATGATGGAATAAGTGGGAGTAGGAACAAGTATTTTTTAAGGCGTACTCAATATATACAATGCATTCGATACCGCTGTCGGCTTTCTATTTCTTCGCACTTGGGAGGATATCTTTTGGTATTAGGAGGTATATAGGTGGCAGGTTTTTTCGTATGGGGTTGAGTGGTTTTTAGTTTGGGCTTGGGTAACATGAATGAGGTTGGTCAAAATAATTTTTCCACAAATGTAGACAGTGTATTAGTGATTCATAGAAAATAGATTTAGTACTTACTCCAGAGTCCGTGGCTTCCGCGCTGAGTAAAAGCACTGTCCTCTTGGCCCCAAGATACAATCGTAGTGGAATTTTCGACTAATTCCTATCATTTTCTAATGCTATAATATTGTTCTCTGGTTCCTCCTGTTCTTCTTGATCTTCTTGAAGTTGCACTTGTTGAGGGAGCTCTCCACCTGGTGGTAGGAATGCCTCTGGTCGAAAGTCTGGATGTCCATCATTATTCATATAGGCTATACCTATGCTTCTTATGTTCAATGCCGCATTTTTATCCCGGTCTACAATCTAGATGAGAAAACAAAACTCTTTTAGCATATAATTAGGCAGAATCCTTCGTGGGTTTAAAGGGTGAAAACATACCACAACCTCTGGATAAAGCTCTGGGTGGTTATGACAAGCTTTAATCTTCCACATCACCCCAATCTATTATGGTATTCCATGCCAATTTAGTACAGCAGAACACAACTACTGATTATATACCTTATTAGTAGAAATTTGCCTTTACCTGGCATTGGTAGGCGTGCCTGTATACAGTCACTTGCCGGATTCAGCAAATGGCCATCCTGGTCTCGACAGTACTTTATTTTCCTTCCTCTCTTTGGAATGAAGCCGCCTTGAGGTCCTTAAACCCAGTACGTTGCACGTTCTCTTGTTTTTCTGCATGGATACACAGGTAAAAATGATCCTGTAAGTCGTTATAAATGGGCTTCTTCTTAAAGTGGGAATTATGTATAGCATTCAGATTTTATATTATTACGTACCTGTGTCCGCAAACCTCCCCGTCATACGGAATACTTGTTAGCCGTTGCTGACACCCTGCGTGAACTTGAGAAGTGTTGTACTCGTCCGTCAGTATCAGCAGCATGTGTGAAGCCAAATTTTTTATTAGTCCCTAAAATATACGTTACTCATATGTGTATGTACAGTATCCAACTTTGACGACTTCCTATGATAGACTACTTCTCACTGCACAATGAACTTGCTTTTGTTACGTATTAGAGAGCTGCACACACTGTGCTATCTTTATATTTGCCACGGCATGGCCATCCTCCTCCATCCCAAGCTAGATCCAGCTATACTTACATTTGTATTGTCGTTTTACAGAAAAGATATAGACAGAGAGAGGTGGGGTCTAACCAATCCAAGTCCAAACAAATCACCGCAGAGTCATCTTCTGATAGAAAAAAGACATTTATAAGCAGCTGCGTACACGGCATAATAAACTTTTTGACATGTCATGGCAGACATCTTCCTGTTTTTCAGGCACACGAAGACAAACACAAGCACCAAAACCCTTTCCAGCTTTACTTACTGCTACGACAAACTTGGGTTGAAAGGAGAGAGTCTTGAGTTAGAGAGAGGAAAAGCAAGAAGGGCACGACCAATTCTGAAAAAAGAATAAGAGTAAATTTTGAGAGACTGCCATACTGCACACGTCATGGTCAGGAATCCTTTCCCGTCACGCTGCTGTACACACTGCACACCTTTGGCACGTCATCCCCAACACCCAGGCCATCCTATTCACCGATCATACCAATGTTCAAGTCCCTTTTTGCTAATACTTACTATCTGTTATTTGCACCGGACACGATTAACCCTGCCAGCATGAGGCGGAACCTGAAGTAGAAATAAAAGAATAAAATCCATGAGCAGGGTGCAGTTACTTTTGACACGCCATGGCATCAGCTCCGAATAGACACTCGATTTCTCTCCAGCTCATGCTCACATTCCTTTTCTTACTGCACTTACAGCTGCTAATTGTGCTTGAGGATGGGTGGCAAAAACCAAACCGAACCGACCGTATCAAAAAGTCAGAACTCCTACAGTAGTAGCAAAGAAAGGAGGATGACATTAGCGGCTGTATGCTGTACACACACTTCTTTAGACACGTCACATTCAGATCGTCTTTCGTATATCACACCCACATGCAAAAGCTCAAAGTACACTTCACACTTATTTATACTGTACTTACAGTTGTACTTGTGATATTCTGTGGTATTGAGAGCCTGCGTGAAGGGAAGAAGGACCAAGTTAAGACGAGAAGAAGGTCTGCGTTAAAGAAGAAAGAAAGTGAGATAAACGAATCTTGAGAAATTCATATGTACTCATAACCGGTTGCATACTCTCTTTACACTCATCATCAAAAACATACACTCTATGATCCTCTAGTCCGTTCCAGTAATAGCCTTGGTTTAGAAACGTTGTGAGGAGGAAGAAGAAGAGCGCATGATTGCTGCGGCCGCGCGGTTATATAATAGTACATAACAAAAACACATTTTATTCTATCCAATTAGATTGCTGTCTCACGTTTATGACGCGCCGAGATATGTGGCTCCTCCAGTTTAGAAACTTTGTTTTACAGTGAATACATGACATTGTGAGTAGACGGTTATCGCATTAAGGAAAAGTACGAGAGGATAACCGTCACTAACACGATATGAAGCTCACTTGAAATTCTTCATCATCCGGGAAGTGTGATCGCTTTAAACACGCCGAATACAAGTAACAACGTATTCAATACTGTATGTATACAGGAGTACCCAATTGATGACGATCCCGCGCTTGCCGATGTTCCGTTTGGTGGAAAAATCATGGTCTTTGGTGCTGACTTTCGCCAGGTATCCAATGTTGTATCCTCTCTTCTACTTCGCATTCTTTTACTATAGAGCGGTAGTACTCACAGTAAGGTATTTGATAATAGGCCCTTCCTGTGATACCAAATGCGCCGCGCTCGCAGATCGTACAGCAGTGCTTAAATCTTTCATCGATTTGGCCCAGCGTCATCATCCACCACCTTGAAACCAACACGCGCGTCCAACAAGCTGCAGACACCAATGACGCAAACGAGCTTCGCGAGTTTGCGCAATATTTACTTCGCGTTGGTGAGCTGTTGGTGCCAACCAATGATGACAGAGTCCGGCTTCAGATCGTATGCTCATGCCACATTACAACACGTATGAATCATAGAAGCAATTTACGGCAACCTCAACGCACCACGTGTGGAACTTTATTACCTCATCAGTCGCTCCATCTTGACTCCAAAGTATGTTTATATTACAGCAATTGATAATTTGGTACTCAACCATTTCCCAGGCCAGAGCGCCGATACTGTGGATGATCCAGAGGATCAAATTACTGAACACCAGCTGCTCAATTTCATGAATCCATCCGACCTCCCACCACACTTGCTTAAACTAAATGTCGGTTGCCCAATCATGCTATTGAGAAACTTGCACACCCAAGGTGGTCTCTGCAACGGGACATGGCTGATTGTACGATCTTTTTAACCATATGTGCTTGAAGCTGAAATAGCTACCGGACCTCATGCCGGCATAACATCGCCTTGATCCCCCGCATAACACTCACACCGTCTCCCATTGTTGCGTAAAACAACCGTAACACCCATTAAATTTAAACCGCACGCAATTTCCTGTTCGCCTGGCATTTTCAATGACCATCAATAAGACACAGGGTCAAGCTTTCAACACTGTTGGCCACTCCTTCTTGCCTGAGCCTCCTTTCACGCATGGTCTACTCTATGTAGCCATGTTACGCGTCCGCACCCGTTCATCCATCAGAATCATGCTAGATCCCGAGAACTCAAGTATCGCGGGTTAGCAAGGTCAAAACACTCGAAATGTTGTTTTCATGAAGTTCTTCTATAAATCCTTTTTGTCGCCTATTCTTTTATCAATATCATTACATCATCTTTTTCTACACTCCATTACGCATTGCATTTTGTTTGGGAGATGTATTGCAAACTGGGAATAGTGATACGACCTTCTTTCAAATATTGATCAACCACTGGGCGAATACATGTATCGCTATGAAGTCTTGAAAACAAGCATGCCTTCTAGACTCCGGAAAGCCGTATCATACTTTTTTTGGCAGTACTTAAATAACACACTGTCATTAACCTTGACAACGCCAATCGAAGTCTTCGACCGCATTCATGCCTTCGATCGTCTCCGAGCAGCATCTATGTGTACGCAGAATAACTAATACTCACGTCATATCATCTCGTTACTTTTGCTGTTTAGTTATATCTATTTACCGAATGTGTTGCAGCGAGCGAATCCGCTGCTGTTGGGAGAGGACAACAGCAGGGTAGCATCTGAACCGGAGTAATCAGCCATATCCTGTACCAGGGCACATATGCGATTTCTCTCCCTTATCTCGATTTAACGGGGGGCTTCCGTATTTTTGCGTGCTTTGGCATCTATAACAACCTTCACCCTGCGAACATTGCATCAACGAGGCCTCTTGCTGCCTACGTCTGGTCGTGGCTCTTGCAATGATAATTAAATGGTTCGTTTGATCTTCATTCAGACTTTGTTTTTTGCGCAAAAGTTCTCTCGAGAAGTCAACAGGAATATCCGACACGCCTAACATTAAAAGCACAGAACTTCAAGGATACCATCGACAAGTAACTTTTTTGCTATCTAGCACAGCTACTGACACTGCTTCTCCTGAGCTGGCTATCGATGATTTGGCATATTGCATTCCAGTTGTTCACGCGAGGAGATGCGCTGCACTGCGAAGGCCGTTTTGTGCGAGATTAATTGTCCATTAGAGTTGGTAAGCAGAGAAAGAGAGAGATTCAGGTCGTGCAAAGTTTTGGCAGTATATATGATACCGAGGGAGTCTCGTTTGGTAGTCTGAGTGTGTCTTTGCGGTAAGGTTATACCGCTCTTGATGTAGATTATTCTTTTCTGAGTTACCCGGAAGGGAAACTGGTTACTCAACCCACTATACTAATTTTACGATTCTTCATAGCCCTGATAACTCTGAGCATTCCTGCTGACTCAACATAGCAACAAGAGCACGATATACATATACATATTCGCGTCGTTTGATTGTTCGCCCGTCATTGTTGTTCCACCATCCACATAGCCCGAAAGAATTCTGACAGCATTGCAACAATGTAAATATAATCGACAAAAACCAGTTCCGTATACTGAGGTTTTATTGCATCCAAAGAAACAAATTTCTGAGCCCAAAAGGCGAGTGACCTGTACACACATACAATTAATTTAATTATACATTACACATCCACAACGCCACAAAGTTTGAAAACCATTCGTAATCGTGAACTTACCAGTTTATTTCTTCTTGCTGACACCGACAGTTCTGCCTATTTTAGTTTCAAATAATTAGTTAGTAAGTAAATGTCAAAATCACTTGATAGCTTCATTCCTCCTCCCTTTACTCTTTCTTACTTACCTCTGCGACCAGTAGTCTTGGTGTGCTGACCACGGACACGGAGACCCCAGTAGTGACGAAGACCACGGTGAGCACGGATCTTCTTCAAGCGCTCCAAGTCCTCACGCATCTTGGTGTCGATACCGTTAGAGATGGCCTGGCTGTACTTGCCATCGACAGCGTCCTTTTGTCTGTTGAGGAACCAGTTGGGGATCTTGTACTGAGCAGGGTTCTGAAGGATGGTGACGATGCGTTCCAATTCTTCGTTGCTCAATTCGCCGGCTCTATATCATATTACTGGCTGTTTAATACTCTTTGTTGCTAATCATATTCTATTGCAATTCCTGTGTCTCTTTGTTGGACTTTTACCTCTTGTTAAGATCAATGTCAGCCTTCTTGCAGGCAACGTTAGCGAAACGACGACCAACACCCTTGACGGAGGTCAAGGCAATGGTAATCTTATCCTTGCCGTCAACGTTGGTGTTGAGCAAACGGATAATGTGCTGGAACTGTTGATCGTAAAACATACAAAAAAATGTTCCTTGAGTGAGTACGGGTTTTCTCATTCTCGTAAAGCGTCATAGTATAACGGTGTCGAACGTAGGAGATGTGGGTGTACTGTTTTGCATACCTGATTCCTCTCGGGAACTACAAGCGACTAATGGAATTTTGAATTATAAAAAAAATGGACAATGGTGAATATAAGTTCAACGATTAACACAACCAGTACAACTTTAAGAAAACGGGACAATACCCAGGTCATTATTCCATCCACATCTCCAAGATGACCCCATCCATCAATCCATCCATCAATCCATCTGTGTGTTGCTTCATCCATCCATTGTTGCTGTTTCCAACCACTCCATTTCTACAGTGTGCAAAAATACATACCATTTTGATGAAAGGGAGGAATATTCACAGAGTACCTCTTCCACTGTTAAGTCCAAGGTTGGAACAATTTCAGATGCCGCTAAAATTGTAGCATTCAGATAGAAATGCTCACTCTTTTCTATCCTGTTTCTCTCGCGACCGTTATGTTTTATAATGCTTTTTGTTAGTTAATCAAAGTTTAGAGCAACACGCAAAAAAAGCTTCTTTTTACATTGGTTACAGCATTTAGTAACGGCATATAGTAGATATTGCTACGTGATACTTACCTCTAATAACAAAGCAAAGTGAGCATAATGCAACAGAGTGACATGTTACGAGACATATGGTTTCTACTGCAACATCATCATATAAAGAGATAATAACTGTATCATTAATTTCATTACCTCTGCTTTATTTATAAATCTGAACCTTATGTACGATTATTAACGGGTGCTACAATTGCTTTCATATTGTTGCAAGAATATTTTGATTCACGCAAAACTTAAGAATTAATAATAAAAATTACGCATACACAGTATTCTATATCGGCTACCAAAATGCAGTAAAGGAACGCATATAAATATTGTCACTAGATTCGGCAAAGCTTACAACAATCGGTCCTATAATGGCAGTTAATAAGAACAGCATGCTGATGCTTACTTCAACCGGACACTTCTCCATTCCTGCAACGCGGAAGGCTTTAGGACCAGCTTTTTTTATACCAACAGCATTTACGAAAAAAAAATACATTATTAAATAATGTGTTAGGACACTTGCTGAGCGTAAAGTAGTTCCATAAACAAGACCAGCTACAAGAGAAAAGGCCACCGAGGTTCCATATTGTAAGTTGAAATCCATATGGCCAAGACACAAACTGACATTGCAATCATGCAAATGATGAATGTGTTTTGGTATCCGATTTTCCTCCCAGTATCATATTCAAATACATATAGATAGTGTAGAACCTCAACATGTATCACGTATGTAGTAAGTAAAGACTAAAAAAAATCGAGATTTGTTCCATTCCGGTCAGCATAGCGATAGACGAACGTTTTAAAACCATTATTATATCCCACACTCAAAAAAAATTATGTATATGGAAATCGCAACTTTCTAAATCAGTAAATTTGTATGCAGAACTGCAGCACAGATAATCATGAGCTATTCTCAATCTTTACAACTGTATATGGAAGAAAAAAGATAACCGAATCGGTCCGATAATCGTTCTTAGCAACATGTTGATGTCTTTCAATATATAAATTGGTCACGCTTGTATTCCGGACTGATGTCAGCAGAAGCAACTAGAAGTTTTTGATAATTGAGGTACCGCTCCGGCATAAACTTTGTGGAGCTTTATATCATAATAGCTCCCATGGCTCTTCCCGATTCCTTCAAAAAGTGCCTGGGGTCACTCCTGATGGTGACTCCAACCAACCCAAGGAAAATCCACCAACACATCCAAAACGAACCTATGCTCAAGCAGTTACCCAAAAACGTCCGGAAATCAGTCGAGGTCGTCTGATAACCCAGCTTAACGAATACGTCCCTGAAGATGTAAAAATGACACTTGGCAGCATGGCAGCCGACGGTCAACCAATCGCATCCCATTTACTTCGTCGAGGAACGGAAGAATACAGTGTTTTCTTTGATATGTCGACACGCTCAGTCAAAGAGGACGCGTTTTTCCGAACAGCTCGAGAAACGTTTGATAACTGGGATGAGGCCATAGGTCTCATCCACCATCGCGAAAAGAAACAAGTCCTATATGAGATGACTTTTGCAGACGAGGACATCTGCAACCTGGCACTGGAAAAGGGCGTTACCGTCGGTGATGTTCACTTCCCGGCTGTCAGATCGCTCCCTCCGGAACACGATCTCACCATAGTACAACTCGAAAAACTGCCTACAGGCGTCAAAATGTATGAGCTGGAGGTCTTGTTGCGCCAAACACTTACCCAATTCGGACACGTGTTGCAACTTGGATTATACCGCTCTGTAGAGGGTGGTTGGTTCCAGGGTAAAGGATACGCAGTGCTCATGAAATCTAAGAACACCACCCCAGAGTCGTACAAGCCCCTCACCCACAAGGTCGACTTCGGTCTCGTGCAAGGCCGAGAACGGTCTTTTTACGCTACTTGGCAATCCATGGGTGATTACTGCCGATACTGTCACTCCCAAGACCACACTCTGAAACAATGTCCAAGCCGCGTTCAACCAGAATGCTTCAACTGTGGAATGATCGGTCACTATGCGAGAGAATGCGATCATCCACACAACGCACTCCCGCGCAAACAATCAAAGACGACGACTGGTTCAGCATCGCCAATAAAGTCGACGACAACCAGCAAAGGTCCAAAGAAGACCAAAACCCAACAATCGCATCCACCAGCTCAACATTTAAGTGATACACAATCTGATCATCGCTCTCATAATGTTCACTCGAAGTCAGCTTTGGACAAAACGACGATTACCATTCCAAACCCGAATTGTGAACAAGAGCGTGAAAACCAGGCTCAGCTACACTCGAAGGTCAACGAGGCCACACCAAAGCAACAACCCAAAGGGAACTCAAAACGTCGAAGTTCCCAGCCTAAACATGTACCCATGGTCACCGAGGAACCGCTCAGCGACAACACGGATACCTCAGACGAATAATTCACACCCCCAACAGACGATGAATCATCATCTCAATCATCCTCCGATGAAACTGATAAGGATGAAATAGAAGACATGATACTCTGCTCGGACGAAGTGGATGCATTGACCCAGGATGCTACCCAACCGCTTCCGTCGGAAGCAGGAGGTTCGGATTCCGCCTTCACGCCGCCTATCAGCACACCATCGGGTGCCTCGGCCTCGAAGCACAATCCCCAGCAGCAGCAAAGTGAAGACTCAAGCGACGACAACAAATTCGACGCCACTGAGTAAACGTCCCCCGACAGCGGTCCACAGCACGCCAACGACTTGATCACCGGTCAATCGTCCGCGGAGACTATGGCCTCTGATTAGATCAACCCCTCCCTTTTATAGGGATCGGAAAGATTTATATAGTCTCGAACTCCTTCCAATCCTGCAACAGCCAAATATGATTGCGCATGGTGATAGGTTGTTTATCCTTGGAGATTTCAACTATTCATATGCGCAGCGCGACTCATCATTCATAAAAGCAGCACCAAAAGAGTGGTGCGCACACTTGAATGAAAACTTTGTCAACCTGATACTGCCGTCGGACGGATCTAATAACCTCACGACGACATTCTACAACGGACGAGGCACATCGTCAATTGATTATATCTTTGCGTCATCATCATTCTCCCTGCTGTGTTCGGCACCCGATGTCCGCCATGTGAATAGCAACTGGACAGATCATGCATTGATAGTGACCAGCATGCGGGCCAGTATTATCCGGCAGGGTCAAGACATATGGAGAGCCAACCCACTTATTGTCAACTCGGTACAATTTAAAGAAAAACTGAATTCAGCACTCTCATCGGCACATATAAGAATTGCCAACATAGCCTCGCCACAAGAGGCCTGGGATGAAGTCAAAAAGATTGCGAAAGAGGAATGCCGTCAATATGGACGTTATCTAGCCAAGAAAAAAGACCATCGCGAAAAACACCTACTTCGTCAACGTAATAAGATGATGCGCCATTTCAAGACAACAGGAAGTCGACCTCAGCGCCTTGTTAATATTACCGCCGAGCTCAACGAGATTCAAGAAGATCACGCTAGAATTTTAGCTATCAAAGCTAATGTCCGCTGGAGAGAGCGTAGCGAAATATCGGCCGGCTATCTAAAACGCACAGCACAACAACGAATGGCACAAAGGAACATCCTCCAGCTAGAACATCCAGTAACAGGCATCGTAGACTCTTCGATTGATCATATGCATCAAGCAGTCTGTTTATTTTATTCACAATTATACTCACCGGAACTGATTGATGCAGCAGCAATATCAGACCTGTTGGACCATTTACCGCCATCATGCGTGCTCTCACAAGACTCTTGCGACATCTTAACAGAAGACATGACTCTCGACGAGTTACTTGACGCAACCAAACGTGCACCGAAAGGAAGCAAATCCGGGACTAGACGGCCTGCCCTATAACATGTTGTCTACCATTTTCAAACACCCGTTATATGGCAGAATGGCTGTTGATATTTACAATTCAGCTTTACATCAGGCACTATTCCCAGCATCATGGTTAGACACATGTATTTGTCTCATTCCGAAGAAAGGGGAGCTCTCCCAACTACGAAACTGGCGTCCAATTGCATTGATCAACACGGACTCTAAAATATTTACCCGTATCATGAACTCACGAATAGTCCGTGTTAGTAATGCATTAATTAACAAGTATCAGACGGGTTTCGTGCACGGACGCTACATCGAAGACAATGGGCTTGCTGTACGACTTGCTATGGACCATGCCGCCAGCGTAAATGCCGATGACGTCGGCATATCTTTGGATATGGAAAAAGCGTACGACCGCGTTCATCCAGAATATCTCGAATGTTGTCTTAGCAAATGGGGATTCCCAGCAAAGATCATCTCTTCTATCAAGACTCTTTTCTTCGGCAGCAATCTACGAATCAACATTAACGGGTCCTTGTCTCCAGCATTTAAACAACAACATGGCGTTCGACAAGGAGACCCTCTCTCGCCTATTTTGTTCAATCTGGCCTTAGAGCCTTTCTTGGTCCGCATCCTCAACGATGAACAATTACACGGATATGATATATCGATGGCAGCAAGTAAAGCTCTTACCCCAGCCACACCGTCTCCAACTAAACGCCGATGACTGCTTTGTTTTCATTCATAATGAATCACATTTGCAACAAGTCCGCCACCACTTAGACACCTACTCCAGAGCATCAAACGCCAAGGTCAATATGGACAAAACGCACGCCATATCACTATCTGGCAAGTCGTCATCCACTTTGCGCTCGTGTTTGGAGGGAATGGGCATTAGATCATGGTTCGATCGACGAGCCCATCAAGCCTTGGTATATCTCGGATATCCTTTGTATCAATCGCCGCAGCAACGGGATGGCTTCCTGGACAAACTCCTAGGCAAGATCAAATCAGCCTGCAACATCCATGCGCACCGGTCACTCTCGATTCGCGGTCGAGCGACAATTCTGAATGTGCTGATATTATCATCACTTTGTTGGCACGTCTTACGAGTTTGCGCGGTCCCTCATACATTTCAGAAGAAAGTTCGCAGCATTTGCCATGACTTCTTGACTAAAAAGATGTTTCCCAAGATTGCATTTCACCGACTGGCACCACCTCGCAAACAAGGGGGCCTTGCAATATTAGTCCCGGAAGCACAACAATCAGCACTCCAGCTCAGATGGATCCAACCTATGTTTACTAATGACACCAAGCAGCGATCGTTCATACATTCGTGGATAATTAATACTCAGGCAACATGGACTCCAAACCAGGACCCACATATGTGTCTCCTATTTCCCCGACTTCGGACCGCTTCAATGAGTAAACCCGTCAGCTTCTCAAATCAGCTATGCAAGGCCTTAGACAATTTTACGGTTGACTATCAATCCCAGCTCATACCGACCGCTACAGTTCTACAACTGCACGTCCTAGATGCCATGACGCCGACACAGCGCCCGCTCACCAAAACCTTAGACGTATGCTTACGACGCATCGCCAAACACAGGATCCTAATGGACGATTTGTTCATCTTTGATTTAGCGAATGGCTGTTTACGGAGACGGCTCGCCACGGAATTCTTGATTTACCCGCGCCTTTTGGGTCTACTGGTTCGCTTCTTGGACTTGGGTGAGTTGGGATTCCAACCAGCGGTGTTTCAGACTTTGATCCCGAGGCATCTTCTTCACAACTCTATTGATCCCGCTATCCGTGAACATAAGGCGGTCGATCTGGGAGCATGGTGCAAGGTCCAAGATAAACAATTGACCACGATCACAGCAAAAGAACTCAGACAAGCAATCATCGACAAGTCTATACACGTCGAAGCCTGGGAAAACACGATCTTAACACCTAGACAATGGGATACCTTCTGGCGATTGAAGATATCGCCAACGGCTAGAAATATTTGGTATCGAACGCTTCACAATAAGATTTCATGCCGTAAAACTCTACATTCAATTATGCCCTCCGAATTCACATCCGCTGTATGCCCAATTTGTAACCAAGATGAAGATGATTTGTCTCATTTCCTGTACCAATGCCCTCGCAAA